TGTCAGGACCAAACTCCAGGCTGTGGGCAGAGTTAGCCTGCAATACTGTATTCCAATCACTTTGCCATCAGGGCTTCTCCTATAACAGTGGTGGCGAACCAATGGCACACGTGCCAGAGGCAGCACTCAGAGTCCTCTCTTTGGGCATGCACACCATGCCCCAGAGATGGCAACCATCCCTCTTCAACCAGCTGCCTGCTAACTCGCTGAGTTCCCAGGTGGCTGGATGCATCCCGGCACAGCTGGTTTCCCTCCCCCTGTCCCATCCCTCTGGCCTCGCATGCTCTCCTTTTCCCAGGCACGACCCACTGCATCATCTCCTCAGCTGTTGGCCAGCTATCCAGCTCAGAGGCGGCTTCTTTGAGCTGCTGGCGGTGGGCTGCAGAGCCCCAGAGTGCACCAGTTGAGGGGCCGGCAGGCTGTGGCTGCTGATGGACACCGTCGGCCCCCATGCGCTTGCTGGCCTCTGTGTGCAGGGGCCGATGGTGTCAGGCAGCAGCTGCCTCAGCCCTTGCCTTGCCCCATGGCAATGGCACCCCCGCCCTGCTGTGCCTCACCCCGCAGGATGAGTCTCCTGCCTACCACCCCACCTGCCAGAAACCCCTTGGATCTCCCCCAACCCTGTCCACCCTCCACAGGCATCCCTCCCATGAGCAACATTGAGGTGACCACGCCCACCTTGGCCAACCCACCCAATCTGCCATGACCGCCACAGCCACACCCACCCAGTGGGCCACGCCCACCTGGCATCCAGTGGGCCACGCCCACCTGGCACCCAGTGATAAATAAGTGGGTTTTGGGTTGCAGTTTGGGCACTGGGTCTCTAAGGCAACACCAAATTAAAAACCATTGAGGTGCCTCACACAACCAATGAACAGCATGCCTTGTTTCTAAAATCCTGGTCTCATCCCCTGTAGTTGACAGAGTCATGACCATCTGGATCTCAAATGCCATGACACAGGTTTTCCTGAATTTTACTAAATCACATTGTTTCACGAAGGTGACCCAGAGTATGCCAACACACCAATAGGACAGAAAGAAACGATGGCTTTATGAGTGTTCTTTGGGGATTGGGAAGCCTAGCCGATGAAATTTCAGCTTGGATCCTGCTCTGGGGAAATCCCTGATATCAAAGTTTGGCAGAGTTCCTAGCTAATTCCACTCTCTGACTTCTGGGCTTTCCCCATTTCACCAGCTGGCAAAGGCTACCTTACCTCACTGCTCTTTCCCTGGACTCCTCAGCTGCTAGCTGCCAATTTTATCTTTCTCCCATGGGCCACATGGAGCTCATACGCCCACATTCCCCCATGGTGAGTTGATTCATTGACTCCAGGAGAGGGGAAAGAGAAGACTGTTGCAGAATTTTGAGCACTGGGTGCAAAATGCCACTTGGGAACGGTTAACTTCTGAAAACTGGGGAAGATTTCTTGCTCTTAAATTTCACAGGAAAAGAACCAAAAAACTAAAATATTTCTGTCCACATGAATATCTTTTCCAGATTTTGCATTTGCACTAAAAGGCTGCCAAGCAGTTTGAAAACGATATCCTTTAAAAGAATATGATCTTTAGACACTGATTACATCTTATGTCATCTTTTTTTTAAAAAAAAATAGATCTGTATCATACGTATTAAGATGTGGTAATTTATCCTTTGTAATCTTTAAAGGAAATGAATAAATGAACAGTGTGTCTCACCCTCCAGTTTTGTAACTTCCAGGGAATTAATGGCTCTTTGATGTGCAATTTCTAGGCAGCTGCTGCCCCCTAGTGATTCATTGTGCTTCTTTAAGGCTCAATAATACATATTCAAATGGTTGAATGAAGCTATACGTCTATGTAAGGATGTATATTTAAAATACTGTATTTTAGTGTCATTTAAGAGTTTAATATTGAACTTCGTAATTTACTACATTTACTTAATTTCATTGTGAGTTACACAATGACAATAAAGATATTCTATTCCATAATAATATAATATGAACTTATATAGATAATGTATGCTATATGTCATATAAGTATAAGGTCCTTTTTCACGCTAACTTGCAAGTGAAAAAATTATTGTACAAATGAGCCTACTTTTCAGCAGTTTGTTCATGGTCAGTGATATTCTTATTTCTTTTTATAATTACTGTACATCCTACGATAATAAGCATAGTAATTATGCTTTCAGCGGAGAGGAAAATAAGTATTTTTTAAAAAAATAATAATAACAAACAAGGTTGAAAGGAGTACATGATCCTTGAGTTGACAAAAGAAAGCTTATAGTATACACAATAGTTATATAAAGAAAGCCATAGTAAGAAGAATAAAATAGTTGACCTGCCATCCAGGCAAAGAGGCTTTAGGCTTGAAAAGCTTACATCTCTCCCAGTGTATGGCCAGCAGTTTTAAGCAAATAAAACATTTCTCATTCCATTGGTGCATTTGATAAGGTATCTTTATTTTTCCAGCATTCTTGAAAAACTATATTGGAACTAGCAACCAATTTATTTATTTATGGGATAGGCATAGTGAAGGACTTTGCAAACTAGCATATTGTAGAGAAGGTTGTAGAGAAGGTGGTGGCGTCCCAACTCTTGCGATCCTTGGATGAAACTAATTATCTGGACCCTTTTCAATCTGGTTTCAGGCCCGGCTACAGCACTGAGACTGCTTTGGTTGCACTGACCGATGACCTCTGGCGAGCCCGGGATAGGGGTTATTTCTCTATCCTGGTGCTTCTTGACCTCTCAGCGGCTTTCGATACCATCGGCCATGGTATCCTTCTGCGTCGTCTCGGAGAGGTGGGGGTGGGTGGCACCGTATTGCGGTGGTTCTCCTCCTACCTCTCTGACAGGTCGCAGTCGGTGTTGGCGGGCAGACAGAGATCCACCCCTAGGTGCCTCGATCATGGGGTGCCTCAGGGCTCGGTCCTGTCCCCCCTCCTTTTTAACATCTACATGAAACCGCTGGGTGAGATCATTCGGCGACATGGGGTGAGATATCATCAGTACACGGATGATACCCAATTGTATATCTCCACCCCGTGTCCTTTTAGTGAAGCAGTCGACGTGATGTGCCGGTGCCTGGAAGATGTGAGGGTCTGGATGGGGGTGAACAGGCTTAGACTCAACCCTGACAAGACCGAGTGGCTCTGGGTCTTGCCTCCCAAAGGCCAACTGGATGGTCCATCATGAGTCCTGGGGGGGGCAAATTTACCTCCCTCAGTGCAGGCACGCAACTTGGGTGTCCTCCTGGACTCACAGCTAAATTTGGAACAACATCTATCGGCTGTGGCCAGGGGAACCTTTGCACAGGTTCGCCTAGTGCACCAGTTGCGGCCTTATTTGGACCGGGAGGCTTTACTCATAGTCACTCATGCCCTTGTCACCTCAAGACTGGATTACTGTAACGCGCTCTACATGGGGCTACCCTTGAAGGGCGTTCGGAGGCTGCAGTTGGTTCAGAACACATCCGTGAGAGCGATTGTGGGCGCGCCAAGGTACGCTCACATGTCACCTATCCTCCGCGAGCTGCACTGGCTTCCTGTGGGTCTCCGGACGCAATTCAAGGTGTTGGTTATCACCTTTAAAGCCCTTCATGGCATAGGGCCAGGTTACTGCCGCACAGTTCCCAGAGACTGGTGAGGTCCCATAGATTGGGCCTCCTTCAGGTCCCGTTGGCCAGACAATGTCAGCTGGCGGGCCCTCGGGGAAGGGCCTTTTCTGTGGTGGCTCCGACCTGGTGGAATCAACTTCCCCCCGAGGTTCGAACTACTCCCACCTTGCCGGCCTTTAAGAAAGCTGTTAAAACTCTCCTGTTCCGGCAGGCCTGGGGCTGATGTCCCCAGGGGGGGGGGCGGGATATAATCGGACTCGCAGTATGACTGTATTATTTTATTGTTTTATGATTGTTTTAATCTCTGTACGCCGCCCTGAGTCCTTTGGGATTGGGCGGCATATAAATAAAATTAAATACAAATACAAAAATACAAATATGCAGCCTCCCTCAACAGCTAATATAAGTGGGGTTAGAAATTGGGGTGAGGAGGGCTTGTACATGCAAAACTGAATGGCTGATAGTACTGTTCTCTGCTTTATCTTGCAAGTAAGCTGACAACTGGCTGGTCCAGGCAAAGCTCAGAGTAAATGTTTACTGGGTTCTTGCTTTAGATGAGTAATCTCATTGCATTTTTTTTTTTTAAAGCTGGAGTATTATCAGAATGGGTTTCTAGTTTGTCTGGACAAAGCGACAGAAGGTCAGGATTTTCATCTGCTGTCAAGAGCAAATTCTGTTCTAAAGTAAATGTGGAGGAAGGAATAAATAAAATTCAGATTGCAGACAAAATGCCAGACTAAGCAAGTGCTTTCTTTCCACTAAATAAACTAAAATCTAGATTTTGGATTCAAGAGTTTTACATCCAGTAGAAAAGTTTTACTTTATGAAGCCTCAAGTTTCTATATGAATTACAGTTATAAGTTAATTATTTATGGTTGTTTTATTCCCAGGGTGATCACTAATTTGATTTTAGGGCATAATGGTACTCCGTACATAAAGAAGGAAAGCCAGTTTGATGCAGTGGTTAGGGTACCAAGTTATAAACTAGGAGGCATCCAGTCCTACCATAAAAATGAAACCAAATGTGTCACTTTGAGTCAATCACTCTCTTTTAGATGCAAGAAGGATGCAAGGATAAAGAAAATTTTACTAAACAAAAATAGAAAGAGAAAGGAGTACTGTGTTGTTCAGGTATTATTCATAAAAATAATAAAGGGATTTTAAAAAAAAATCTACAGTGACTAATCCAGATAGTCATCAGAAGTCAACACTGACTTGAAGATGCACAAACACAAACTGAAATGTTGTGTTGGACCAAGCAGGAATATTTTACAGATATTTTCATTCTACCTCTTGGAAACAGAACTGAATATATATGATACATCATGTTTAGATTCCTTCAAATACCTTTGGCTGTAATACTGTTCAATTTATATCAGGGTACACAGTATATGAAATACTGTTATCTGCCTTCTTTCAGGTCTCAATTTATCCCCACTCATACTAGGCATGTCGATCTGTGCCTTGAAAGCTGATTCTGGTCCCTGCAAAGCCCTGTACACCCGCTTTCATTTCAACATTCATACCCGCCACTGTGAAAGTTTTAACTTTGGTGGATGTCAAGGCAATGAAAACAACTTTCTAACCTTAGAAGAATGTCAACAAACGTGTGTCATAAAAGGTCAGTATATACCTTGCTACAATTCTTTGTTGTCTTTTTTTCAAAAGAAACACTTCTTTTTAAGTCTCACACAAAACTTATCAGATTGTTATCCTATATACTATTTGCAGAATATACAAATATATACGTGATCAGGAGGAAAGTATTTATGATCTAGTGTTGAATTTTAACAAAGTGAGAAAGGTTTTACATATGTGTATGTGTGTGTGTGTATATTGACTATGCAGTTCCAGTCACAATCATTACTTTTTGACTGTTCTCTTTTCCTTATATGGACCTCTGGGTGTTGAAGAATAAATCATATAATATATATATATATAATTATCCATTCATCTTTCTATCTAGAATGGAATGGAATGGAATGGAATAGAATAGAATAGAATAGAATAGAATAGAATAGAATAGAATAGAATAGAATAGAATAGAATAGAATAATAACTTTATTGTCACTTTGAATGTACACTAATCGGCATACATTAAAATGAAATTTCACTGCATTCAGTTCTCAAAGGGTCACCACCTCCATTATACACTACATAAATATGACAAAAATAAATTAAGAGCCGAGGTGGCGTAGTAGTTAGAGTGCAGTACTGCAGGCCACTTTAGCTGACTGTGTTCAGCAGGTCAGCGGTTCAAATCTCACCGGCTCAAGGTTGACTCAGCCTTCCATCCTTCCGAGGTAGGTAAAATGAGGACCCAGATTGTTGGGGGCAATGTAAATATATATATATACATTGCTTACTGGTGTACACCGCTTAGAGAGTGCTTGCAATTAAAGCGGTATATAAGTCTCATAAATAAATAAATATGCCTATACCCACATATATTATATGACACAGAGAAATAATAGCCTAATTCAGGTTATTTATACATGTGCATGGCAAGAAAAACAAAGTTTACGAGTTTACCAGATGGATGGTATAGAAAGCAAAGCTATTACAGAATTGGGTAGTCCTGCTAGAAATACTTAGAAACCTCCTCCCAGAAGGGAGCAACAAAAACAGACCGTAAAGTGGGTGTGTGGGGTCTCTAACAATGTTTTGAGCTCTAAGCACATAGCGCTTATAAGCAGCATCCTGAATACCAGGGAGCGAGCTTCCTACGATCTTCTCGGCTATCCTTACCATTCTCTGTATGGACTTTCTAGCTGAGGCACTGCTGCCACCAAACCAGAGAGTGATGCAGTTTGTTAAAATGGTCTCAGTTGTGCCTCTGTAAAAAGTGGCCAGGATAGAAGGAGAAAGATGTGCTCTCCTCACCCGACACAGGAAATGCAGACGCTGGTTTGCACGCTTCATTAAGGATGAGGTGTGGCGAGACCAATTCGGATTGTTATCTGCACCCCAAGATACTTAATACTGTTGATCACCTCTATAGCTGCATCCTTGATACTGAGTGTAGTATGACTCTTTCTAAAATCTACAATGATCTCCTTTGTTTTATCAACATTTAGAACCAGGTTACTTTTATTGCACCAGGCCACCAGAGCCTTCACCTCTTCCCTATAAGCATCTTCATTGTCATCCCAGATAATTTCTCTCTCTCTCTCCCTCTCCATCTCTCTCTCTCTCTCTCTCTCTCTCTATCTATCTCTATCTCTATCTCATTATATATTATTTATTCTTCAACATCCAGAGGTCTGTATAAGGAAGAGGGGGCAGTCAAAAAGTAATGATTGTGACTGGGACCTTATAGTCAACACCTTGCCACATTTTCACATGCATTGCACGATCACAGAAGCCAGACTGACTTTTTTGACCCCAGCAAACATCTTCATTGATATCCCCAAGAAAACATAAAACATTGACCGCACGTTGGAATAAAAATGATTTCAGACATTTCCAAAAGGTGAACAATGAAGGAAATTCAAGTGTTTAGGTGTTGTCATAGGGGAAAAAAAATATTTCTCTCCAACAGTAGATTCAAGAATAGTTACCACTATATTATTGTCAGATCGTATTTTTGAAATTAAGTTTAAAAAACAGAAATACAAAACAGGCAAGGATAGTGTCATTTAAAAAAAAAACTTGTTATGATTTAGGATAGATATATTTCATCCTGTTCTGTATATGCAGCAATGGGGGCAGGGAATCTTGCAATGAGGAGCTGGATATTGCTTACTGCTTTTTGGGGGGCTGTATATCTGTTCTAGGGTAGTGTTAGGAAACATAAAACTCTAGGAAACAGCCTTGCATCAAATTAGATCATTGATCCAACTCGCCCTATTCTTGTAGTTTCCCAAAGTATTAGTTAGTGATTACAGCCATCCCTGGAGACATCACAAATTAAATTTGGTGCCATGTGCATGTGAAACACCCTTGTACACCAGAACTCTGGTCCTTCTTGGAATTAAAAATAGATCAAAGATAAATATAAAACTTTTGGAAAGTATTTTGAATAGTAAGCTCCATATCTCAATTTCACAGTCAAAATGAACATTAAGCCCTATGTATCCACCACCCTACCCCACATTACCAACAAATGTAAATTTGATGCTGTAGGCCAGGCATGTCAAACTCACGACGTCACATGACGTTGCGTGATGTATCGCAACTTTTTCCCCATTGCCAGCAATGGGGTGGGCGTGGTTTTGGCGTGACACATCCGGCCCGCAGGCTGGCAGTTTGACATGCCTGCTGTAGGCAATTTCCATGTTTTAAACTTCAATCAGTACTAACACTATACACATAAAGCAGATGTTATCCAAGTTTAGTAATACAGGCATACTTCAGATATATTGTAGGTTCGGTTCTGTAATAAAGCAAATATTGCAATAAAGTAAATTACACAAATATTTTTGTTTCCCAGTCTATATAAATGTGATGTTTACATTATACTGTGGTCTATTAAGTGTGAAAAAGAAAGCCAATATACTTATTTTAATTAAAAAAATACTTCATTGCTAAAAAATGCTAATCATCTGAGCCCTCAGCGAGTCGCAATCTTTTTGCTGGTGAAAGGTCTTGTAAAAAAAAACGTGCACTAACTGTGTAATAAAGTGCAATAAAGTTATGCCCATATATACTAAAAGTCCAAGTGGGAAATATACCTTATAACCAAGAAGTTAATTCACCGGGGATTTAGATATTCCAGAGTTTCCAGCAGAGAAAAGTACTATCAAATAGCTGACTGATTCAGAAAATCCCAAGGAGCAACTTTTAATAAATCTTTCTGCCAGAAAAAACAATCTTACTTATTCAGTTAAGGCAAGTGAAAGCACAGCAATGGGCAAGTATAATAAACATCATGAATTTATATGCTGATCTGGAGAAGCTAAACCAGTCAGGGCCCCAGGTGCACGTTTTAAGGGTGCATAAATGCAGCATAAGGTGAGGTGTTTAATTCAAACCTAACAAAAGCCAGATGAGGAAATAAGATCCCGGTCTCCAAAGGAAAAAGGCTTGAATCATGCCCCTCAACCTTAATCTCCAAGAAAATTCAAAATCCTTTTAAGATGAGAAGGAAGGTTACATCATGCAAGCAGGGAAGTTATGTTATAGAACCTTTCATTTAAAGAATTTTGACTGATGAGGTCCAGAAAAAGGGTCATTACCCTCATCCTCTGGAATATTCTCCCTTCAGAAGTGAGGTGGGCTGTCAGTCTCCTGGGATTTTGAAGGAGTTTGAAGACCTGGCTCGGCCAATTCGAATGGGGCTCACTGAGCAGCAGGCAACCCTGGGGATGATTGGCACCTTGACATCTTTCCCCTACCACACACACACACACACCTTTTAACATCTAACTCAGGGGTCCCCGACCTTGGCGACTTTAAGACTTGTGGACTTTAAGCTTTGCTGACTGAGGAATTCTTGGAATTGAAGTTCACAATTCTTAAAATCGCCAAGGTCGGGGACCCCTGGTCTAACTTATTTTATTCTTGTTTTTATTTGGCTCTTCTATTGATGCACTGTATTTTTATGTGGCTTTTATGCTTTTAACTCTATACTACCCAGAGTCACCCTGTGAGATGGGCAGTACCTAAATTTGACAGATAATAAGTAAATATCCATGGAAAACAAAACTTCATGGAGTCCCTCTAAATTTGGAACTGAAAAAAGATGCCATAGTAAAATTTTCTGATGCATCTGTAAAATGAATAACTGTACACTTATAAGGTTTGAAAAAGAATCATGATTATAAGGTTTTCTGCAACATGTATAATTTGTAATCTCTTTCGAATTTGTTTGATTACTAGAACCCAGGGTATTGCCTCTTGCTTGTCTAGTTGCTGAAATTAATTTAGATGCTTTGTGTACATTTCTTACATTGGACTTCATCATTTTCAGTGAAGTTTGTTGCTACTATCTCTCAATTATCTCAGCCTGCCCAACCAGTTTGGATTGAGTTGATATGTTACAAGTGCTGTCTATTAAAGAATTTTATTTTATAGAACCCCGGAACTCTATGGCTGTGGCTGTCTTGTAGAATAGCATTTCCCCCCCCCCCCAATCACTGAGATTCAGATGACTCTGAAAAATTATAACCATATGAGAATTTTTACCCATTTCTAGATCCAGTTTAAAATTACTTTTTCAATTTCAGATGTACCAGAGAATACAAAGAAATTAATACTTAAGAAAGGTAACTTACTGTTTTATTGTGTTTTGTCATCTCTCAGTATTAAGAAATAATTAACCAACAGAAATATGGCTGGGTTAAGTTACTATACGGATTTTACTCAAATGTCTCAAGTTCTTGTTAACTTATAAGATTGCTATACTTATCACAGCAAACAATAACTATAATGATTTTTTTTATATTTCTTTTCATCTGTAAGAAGGAGAGGGGCTCAAGAATGAGATCACTTTTATTTATGGTGTTTGATTTTGGAGGGCTTCATATTAACAGTACAATGCAATACAATAATTTTAACTTACAATTTACAATGTATAATGTAATATAATTGTATTGCAATTAGGTTTGCATTGTAAAATGAATAATGAATGAGAAATGAAAATTGTCAAGGTAAATTATTAGCGTTCATATCATATCAACTCAATTATCCTTAGTTAATTAGGTTTTAAGTGTCTATCTTCTTTGCCTTGCACATAAATATCTTGATTGTAGAAGTACCATTATCTTGAATCCCATTGAAACCAATCAAAGTACTAGGAAAGCAGTGACATGAGAATTAGAATCAGTATGTTGCAAGACAGATATTCTTTTTTTAAAAAAAATATTATTCAGAAGGATATTTTTACCCATAAGAATCCACAATTTTGGAAGAATTGCATTAAAGTTGATTTCATTTCAGAGTTCAGTTTCTGGATCCAAAAACTGTCAGAGAACAGTGCTATCTATTCTTTCTTAGGAGATATAGGGATCAAGCAGAAAGACCTCTGAATGCCACTAACAATAAGTTTGGTTCATCCTTAAATAAACTAATTTCTTCCCATATCACCAAGATTTAAGTTTGGCCCCTTAGGTTTAAAGTTTGAGTTTAAAATGAAATGATGGAGAACATTTCACTGTAATTAGACTAACATAGAAATAGTGTGCAAACTGATGCATTAAAAGTGGGATAACCAAGTTCAGATCTACCCCCAGATATATATTTTGTAACTTTCGGCCAATTATTCCCTCAACCCAACCTGATTCACAGCACTTTTGTTGGTATAAAAAGTGGGACAAGGGAGCAGTGTGTGTATACGCCATCTGGAACTCTGAAAGAAAGGCAGGATATAAATTTTGTAAATAAATAACAGACTGAGAAGTCTGATATCTGATCGACAAATTTAGCTGAGTTATCTTTATGCTATTTTTTGGAGCACGTTTTTGAAACTATTGTCCATTTGCCAGCTGTATTAGAAGTTGAAGCTGTTCTTACTTTCAACAATTTGTGGTGAAATCATAATTGTAGCCTACATTTGAAGACTGTGTAAATATAGCTGAGTTTAAGCCTGACAAATTAAATATTAAATATTATGGCAGCATCTCTTGAGGGCTATTGTCTAACTGTGGCTCAAAAAATACCAGAATAAACCAGGTTTGTGAAACTCCTCACATTCCGTCTCTGTTATGCCTATCCTAGAAACTGAACCAGCCATATTATTTGCAAACCAAAGCAGAGTATATAGCAAGTCCTTAGCCAGCTGCTGTGGATTAATACACCACAATTATGTTATGGGTCACATTCTGAACATGTTAAAATCTTTCCACCTATAAAACTAGAGTACTGAAAGATTTCCTACCTCTTTCGTCCTGAAGTCAATGGGACTGAGCAGCATTTAACTTTAGTTAGAACTGAATGGTTTGATCAGGAAGTTAAGAGGGTTCAGTAACATGATTTTCCTCCCTGAAACAACCCTAATTCACAGAAAAGCCTACCTACTGCCTTTTGGAGAATGACCCTGGTGTCTGCCGAGGATTAATTCCCAGGTATTTCTACAACAAAGAGTCACAGCAGTGTGAAAAATTCCTATATGGTGGATGCCTGGGAAACCAAAACAACTTTAAATCTTTGCAAGAATGCCAAAATACCTGCCATGACAGGGGTAAGTGGAGCTGTTTCATGGGTACTTACCTGCATCTCTCAGTGTCTGTTAGTGTAATGCAGTGGTTCTCAATTATTTTCTGTCATGCCCCCCCTAGGAAGAAGAAAACATTTCGCGCCCCTCCCCCGCGTGACTGTCTATCCAATCGGGTCCTTTGCGTGTGTCACGTGCGTCCAATATGACAGTATTTGCCGAGGTCAAACGAGCCCCCCTTTACGGAGCCTTGCGCCCCCCCTGGGGGGCCTGCCCCACTATTTGAGAACCACTGATGTAATGTAAGAATGGAGAGAGTGTAGCCTTCCAGATCTTTTTATAAAGCAACTATCACCAGCTTTTATTGGCTGAATTACCAATAGCTGATGGGACTTGGAATTTATAGAATTCAAAGCCTGTGGGAATGGTAATGTGTGTGCTAAGCTGCAACAGAAATTCATTCCCATGTTCAGTTTGAAGGTTGCTTCTATGGGTGGTTGCTATCATGTGCCTTTATAATTGGGGACAAAAATCAAAGGCAATAAGGAATCAGAAAGTCTCCACTGAAAGAACTGCCTAAATTATGCATTAGCAAGCTAGTATGGTGCAGGACAGAAGATCGGAATAAACTCCTGTTTCAGTTTAATGTAAACAAATGTAAATGAAGTGAAAACTGCTTCTTAGTTTAAGTAAGTTCAGATAATACTTTGGGTATTAAATAAATGTTAATCACCATTTTCTCTGTCCCAATATACCATTTTGATCAGACTTTTTTTTAAATTTCAGTCCCCTCAGCCAATTCACTACAAATAGATGGTGACCACATGGTTTTTAGTACTATTGGTAATAATAGTGCTCCACTTATTAAGCAAGGTATGTATTAATAATTTATTGCTGAGTAAGAATTAGGCTCACTCTACATTTCTAATCTGAACTTTTCCCTGTCATGTTTCTACTTTGCCTCTAGTGATTCTGAAGGGCATTCAGTTTACTAACTAAGGGGGTTTGTGCAAAGCTTGGTGACCGATTCCTCCATTTTTTATTTCCTCTGTACTCCATCATCTGTATACTTGCTTTTTAAAAATCAGGTGTTTGTGCCTGCCCTCATGGAAAAGCTGCTTCTCGGTGCATTCTATTATTCTCCTAAAATATAGTAAAGTTCCTTTTTATCACTTTCATATATAATGCCTCAATAGAAAGGAACCATAGCATATGAACATATGAAGCTTCCTTAACCAGGTCACACAGTGTATATTATATTATTTATTCTGACTGGTAACAACCAAAAACACACTCAGGCCTGCTAACTAATACTGGGTATGATAGAAATTGCTAGGAATTTCTGTTTTGACTGTGCCACTGCTAAACTATAGTTTACCAAGGAGATCTCAAATTTCTAACATGCCATTGCAACATGGGAATAGTCACACAATGCATGCTAGCACCTAGCATGTTATCTGACAGATTATTCCTTCTGAATGTGCTGAATTTATATTTTACTGCTTTCTGCCTGAAGGAGTCAGTGGCACCACTGTGTTCACATCAGGAATATGCACTTTGTCTTTAGATTAATGGCTCTCCCTCCAAACATCACTGAGGAAAAATAGATGAGTCCAGGAAAGCCAAAACAAAAAATAGACTATAAAATCTTCATTAATAAATTAAATCAGAGTTTCATTCATTTCAGCTCATTTTTAATTGTTACCTAACTATCCTACATATCTCCTAGAGTCTCGAGACTTGGGATATATAAATATCAGAAAAGAAATAATAAATACTAACATTTCTGAGGTAATTGTTAGTGACAGAAATAAATCCCTTCTGTTGTTTTTGCTCTTCTTTATTTTTATTGTTGCTGTTTTTTTAATCTGAGAACTCTCTTTGAAAGGTTTATTGCCATTGCTTTTCCATGAGAGTACACCATATTGGAGATTGAGACTTCTCATTTTTATGATCCACAGTTATACGTCAGGGAGAAAGGAACAGCTGGAAAAAGACTGATCACGGTTGCTATATTTTTCTTCTGGCCATCTGCACTTGCATTCAGATGTGCTTCTGGGAACTGGCTGGTAGTTTGTGGATTATGCATGCTGGCTAGAAAACTGGAGTGTATGTAAGAAAAGTCCAGGGAGATCTTCTTAATGAACTTTGGGACTGCCTATGATGGGAAAGTGCTGTGTGGTTTTTCTATATCCTGGCTTCATTCATGACAGAACATAGAACTTTGCTTGGACTATAATCACCTAATTCAGCAATGGGATGGAGGAAAGCCTCTCTTGTGTCACCCAAAATCCAATCAAGATGAAGGATGGTACAGACATGTTCTGAGTAGATAAATAAATAAAGCATTAAAACTGTTTCAAGAATAACTAACAATACTTTTTTGGTGTTTGCCCTGATTGAGCAGCTAAACACATCTCATGTTTGTATGTCTTTAGGTTGATTCTTCTTCCTTGCGTAGGCAAGGATATGCTGTTGAATTTGGACAATCCACTCAAAACTTAAACCTGTCCAGTCAGGAGTACATATCAGTGGGAAAATATGGTAGCTTAGAAGTTCTTAGTTCTAGTTCTTAGAACTTAGGAGTGCTATCTTCTAAGAATATCTTGGCACTCCTATAGAGCCACAGTGAGGAACAGTCTGACAGAATTACAAAATCCTGATGAGATCACATTACAGATAGTCCCTGACTCATGACTGTAATGGAACTTGTCCATTACGGTCAAATGTCATGATGGTCATTAAGTGAAGTACCCATGTGATCATCCCTGCTCTCTTCCCAATGAGGTTGTTTAATGAACATGCAGATCATGAAGCAAAGCATGGGGTGGCTTGGGCTCTGGAGGAGACCTTGGCCCAGGGCTCCCAAAGCCTTCCCCACCTTTAAGGCATCCCATGGTCCACTTCCTGCTCCTCAGGAGGCCCATAGGCCTTGGGCCTGCTTTCCATCCCACTGGGCCTAATACCTTTTCCCTTACCTCATGTCACCCATTACACACTTACCTTTCGAAGAACTCTATAGTTCAAGTTAGGGGAGCAAAGCAAGCTGTTTTTGCTGGGCTGGGCTGCATGATCCAGGAAATGGCCACCATTTTCCAAGCAGCAATAATTCTGAAATTGCACCATACAACCCAGCAAAAAAAAAACAGTTACTGTATTTTCTAAACCCAAACTCCAGAACTCTTTGAAAGGCAAGTGTGCAGTGGGTGATGGGTAAGGAGGAGAATGTGGGGTCTGATGGGGAGAGGGGGAGATAGGCTGGGGGGGGTGCTGTAGCATCCCTGTGATTAAGGGCAAACAACTATGGGGTATTTTCTGCTGGGGAGGGAGTGTCTGCTGTAACTTCAAACATTTGCTAAATGACCAGTCGAGAAATACTTCTACATTACTCAGATACGCACAAATAAACACACGTTCATACACATGCACCAAAGTATCTTCCTCTAAACGCCTAACTAGATATAAAGCCAACTTGCAGGGCTTAATGGAAACAATTTAATTTGCCCTTTTTTCTTGCACAGCAATCTTCTTGGTAAGTGGCAAAAGTAATCAGATAATCATATAGAAAAGAACTAGATAAAATTTCACTCTAATGAAAGAGATTTGAAGATGCCATTAATTTATGAACTGTTTTCAAATGGCTTTAGCAAGGCATGAAACGTTGCTATTATCTCTGAGTCTAGATAGTGTGCTGAGCTACTATTCTTTCTGGGTCAACTGACTCCTGTAGTATCATTCCTTGACAAAACAGCCAGCCACCAAGTATTCCTTGCGGTAGTTAAATAATATCAGCAATTTATTACTGCTCTGTTAATTGTTAATTGCATATTTTAATGGAAATGGTATTTCATAATTAGCTATCATAATCCTTACAGCAGGGGTATGAAATACAGAGAGAGAGAGAGAGAGAGAGAAAGAGGGAGGGAGGGAGGGAGGGAGAGAGAGAGAGAGAGAGAGACAGACAGACAGACAGACAGACAGACATTTGAAATTTGGAAAAAGTGTCCTGAGCAGCAGAGTTTTATGGGGAGTGAGTCAAAAAAGGCAAGATGGTGGCCATGACAATTTGACTGAAGCTCTACTCCTTCTTATATGTGTTGATGTCACACGCATATGCAAAGAGGCAGGGCTTCAGTCATGTTGCCACGACTGTCATTGTGCTGTTTTTGAATGGAGATATTCATAGATAGGAAAATTTTATGGACAGAATTTCATCCACCTACTTAGCTACTTTCTTCAACTTGATGTTGTTTCGCTTTGTGAGTATGTGTGTGAGTGCATTCATATGTGTGCATGTTTCCATTTGGCCAACTTTACAGAAGAGGCAAAAGAATAAATTCAAAATGCAAGATTAAGGGGATTAAGAAACACCTCGAGATGTTCTAGGAAATGGCTCTGCTAACATAATATAGAACATAGAATAACAGTTGGGAGGGACCTTGGAGGTCTTCTAGCCCAACCCTATTTTCAGGCAAGAGACCCTATAACATTCCAAACAAGTGGCGGTCCAGTCTCTTCTTAAAAGCACCCACAACCTCTGGAGGCAAGCCATCCCACTTATTAATTGTTCTCACTGTTAGGAAATTTCTCCTTAGTTTTAAGTTGCTTCTCTCCTTGTTTAGTTTCCATCCATTGTTTCTTGTCTTCCTAAAGGAAGGAGCCTTGATGTGCAAAGTTGTATCATCTGCCCAGTGTAGAATTAAGCACCTAGTTCACTTTCTCTTTTTTTTATTAAAAAGTTTTTATTTTCCATTTATTCATACAAAATAAAATGAATTCCTAACCATTGGTACCGCCTGCCCATTCCCCCCAGGCTGTGTCCACCCTCTCTAATCCTTCCCTACTTCCCTCCTCTTTCTCTCCTCCCCTCCTACTCTCTTCCCCTCCCCATCTCCTCTAACCATCCTACTTCCTCCCTACTCCTTCCTCCCCTCTCATCCCTCTCACACACATGAACGCAGCATAGGGGAAATGCCCAAGCATTTGCCATGACTATATTATCATTACCCACCCACTCACCCACCCACCCACCCTCAACCCTCCCCCCCTCGCTTCCCAGAGCAGAATACAGGGTTATTATTAAGAAAGTTAACAATAATAAAAAAGAAAAAAAGAAAAAAGAGAAAAAAAACATCATACTTAACCTTTAACTCCCCTTAAATTAAGTCATATAAACAAATCTCTACAACAGTTACTATAAAATTTACTCATAAAATAAATGAAACTTTATAGTCCCATATTTTTTCTGAATATAATCTATCCATCTTCTCCATACAATAATATATCTTTCTTGTGTATGATCCTTCAAATAAGCAGAAATTTTTGCCATTTCTGCAAAGTTAGAAACTTTAAATATCCATTCTTCTAAAGTAGGCAACGAGTCCTTCTTCCAATACGAGCCTACTAATAACCTTGCTGCAGTTAATAAATTCAACATTAAAGTAGTTTCTTTGTCTAGTTCACTTTCTCTTGACACCAAAATGCCTTCAGTCAACCCCTGGGATAAACTGGAAGTGAGTTTAAATTAAAAACCCTGCATGTTCTGTGCAAAGAGCACGAAAGGCACTGAAGAAAAGCTTGTTCAATAGTTTCATAGAAAAGGACCCCCTCAGAGGCACAATGTGAATCTGTTGCTTTCTATTAAATGAAAAGACGTGTTCTCTATGTTTAGTTTGAGTCTAAACTGACTGAGGGAGAGATTTCCTTCCTGGCATTTTATAAGCGAATTGCTATTTCGGCTGTTTCCCCTGTGGTTTTTTTTTTTTTTTTTCCTGTAACCTAGCAGCACATACATATAATTTAAGATTTTACTTAGTTTTGTAAAATAATTTAAGCTTTAGGTTTTTATTGCCTTTTTTTTACAAGCTACGAACCTGGACAGGTTTGGATGCCATAATACTATCTCTATCATTATTTCTCATCTAGAAAATCAAGGCCCTTAAAGCCTCCAATGACCAGTCCTTGCTTTGCTTAAGTTTCATAAAACCCTCTTGATTCTTCACACAAATCACTGGTATCTTTGCACCAAATAGACTTATTGCTGTTTCTCTTTCATGGTTGTTTCAGAAGACAACATTCTTTACTACTTAGTCTCACGAAGACTGCATCTCTTTTATTGTTGTTATGTGCTTGTCTATTTGTTTTAATGCTTGAGGACACCTCTGAAGGTATCTGGGATCTAATGCTAGAAAGGACAATGAATCTAGCTGTAAAACACCCCATAAACTGCATTTTGGTTTCATTTCCAGGCACAAGCGGAGAAGTACAATTATCTTTCAGCAGGAATACTGTAGGCTTTGCATAATATGTTGTAGCCAATGTCAGACACCTGGGATTCTTTGGCTGCTCCAGAAACCTGACATTTGTTGGGATTGTTGTTGAATACTGCTAATGTAACATATAATTGGACACTGTGTGTGTGTGTGTGTGTGTGTGTGTGTGTGTGTGTGTGTGTGTTTGATAATACCCTAATATAATATCAGTTTGCAGCAATATAATAAGAAATTAAAATGACTACCAGCTTCACTGGCCAGTGCTGCTTCTAGTTCTTGGTGCTCAGTCCTAGTTCTTGGTGCTTGGTCCTAAGGCTATAGCAGGGGTCTTCAAACTTGACCCTTTTATGACTTATGGACTTCAACTCCCAGAATTCATCAGCCAGGCATGCTGGCTGAGGAATTCTGGGAGTTGAAGTCCACAAGTCATAAAAGGGTCAAGTTTGAAGACCCCTGAGCTATGGTGTCAGAACTGTAGTGTCTGACTTGGCCAGAGAAGGCCCACTAGCAGAAATCACTTTATCTAGCTCTCCCCAAACTATCAAGTTAGAGCTGCAGTGTACCTTCTATTAAGCTTCTCATACCATCATATGTCTGGGTTATCTCTTTTCTTCTTTGTTTGATTATCTCTCTTAAAAACATGTGCCCTTTTTCAGTCTTCCTTCCTTGTCTTCAAACAGACAGCATTCTTCTAAACTGGACAAGTTTCAGAACTGCTGAATGTCATGGTGTCTTGTAGTTTCTTGAAACATCAAGTTTTTAGGGAACAGTTTTAGCTGCTAGAATTCATTTTTCACAAACATGTGAAAGCAGCAGCTTATGAAAGGAGTGACCTTGTAAATAATGGAATGTGGTGCTTAAATACAATTTCACAGTGGTTTTAATGAGATACGGTATTGGAGAAAAAACAACCATTCATGCTGAGCTTGGTTAAATCTAGAAACTATGTACCTAATTGGAACAGTAGCTAGAACATCGCACATTTTAAACAAATTCAATCAAGGGTTGATTTAACTGACCTATCTTGGAAGTCAGATTTATTAGTGCAGCATGGCATTGCCACAAACTGGCAATCTAGGGATGCTTGACTGAGAATTCCCATCATTCACAACCTTCATATCCATTGGCCTTATTGCACAGGAAAGGGGGTGTTGGTCCATCACATTTGGAGAGCATGAGATTGGTATAATCTGGGATAAAATACCTGTGATTTTATCATGAAAATTCAGTTCTTTTTCATGATATATTTTACTGTTTGCTTGTATTCATGCCACTATGGATTTCACTTCTATTTTTTTTAAAAAAATAATAATAATAGTATATTTATATTGTATGACAATTATTATATTAAGTGTGTGTATTCACAGTTTTATGTTATATTAATTTTTGATACTTTCCTTTGACTTAAAAACCTCCCCAACAATACACATGCACGCATGCATACCACACACACGCACATTTTAAATTATGAGAACTTCAGTGCAATATAGGAGAAATGGGTATTTATCATAGAACCAAAAGTGCAAGAATTCAGGATTCTTCTATTTCTCACCATGTTTTCTTACTTATTATGTCTAGACTTGTTTCTGCTCCCTTCTCTTTGTGTGATGCCCATGGACAGAGGACTTTGCAAAGCAAATGAGAAACGGTTCTTCTATAATCAGACTACTGGAAAATGCCGTCCATTCAGCTACACTGGATGTGGTGGGAATGAAAATAATTTTACCTCTAGGAAGGCCTGTGTGAAGATGTGCAAGAAAGGTACAGTCGCAAGCCTTGCAACACTTGGGTTGAAGTATTCTTCGTTAAAGTATTACTGCAAAATCCAATCTGGGTCAGTCATCGTGACCAGAGGTTTAAACTCTTCCGAGCTTTTGGACTCATGCTTGAGTCCATGTTCATGGAACTTCTCTCTGTTGGAATATATATTGGAACAGTAGAGAGAAGTTCTCTGAAGATGGGCTCCAGCACCAGTCTGAAGGCTCAGAAGACTAAATCTCTGGTCCTGGTGACTGACCCAGATTGGATTTTGCCACATTATCCTGGGACATATATATATGCCTTCATTTGTAAAGTATTACTACTGAGTACACAAGTCAAAGAAATCTGTCCTTTAACAAGCACCTACAGAATGCATCTTCTGGAAGCCCTAAACACAGCCATTAGCACAGCTGAATAGAAAAGATTCAGACTGTCTCCTGTCAGGAGTTTGAGTGCAATACACAAGCTTTTAAGGTTTGCGATAGCAACCAATCAGTATGCTTCGCCAATCTAATGGGGCTGAAAACCTCATCAGAGGTTGCTGAATTTTCACCTTCTCTCCCTATCAATGATGCTGGCTGCAGCTCTTATGATTGTATTTCAATACACTCACAAGCCCCCCTTCCCTGTTTTGTTTTGAAGCATCTCTTTTGAATGTTACATTGTGAAGCAGTCAAGAATACCCGATTAAGTACCTAACTAGGACCATAGAAGCTTGATATTCTGTTGATGTCATTAACTCTTACTCCAATCACCTACTTCACACTAACTTGTAAGACTATGGAATATATGTAGAATTTGCAAAATGGGGGAGGAGGGGGAACATGTACAATGCACTGATCTCAATACAGAAAGAGTGGAATACACTTGTAACAAATAAAGAGAGCCAGTTTGATGTGATAAAGATGCTGCCTGGAAACCAGGAGACAGTGAATTATAGACCCACCTTAGGCATGAAAGCCAGCTGGGTGACTTTGGGCCAGTCCCTCGCTCTCTCAGCCCACCCACCCCCCCTCACTGGGTTGTTGTGGGGAAAATAGGAGGAAGGAGTATTAGGTACATTCACCACCCTGAGTTATTTATAAAGATAATAAAGGCAGGATAAAAAAAATATTTTAAGAATCATCTGAAGGAACTCCTGGTTAGAAATAGATATCTATTTCTAACCAGGAGTTCCTTCAGATGATTCTTAAAATATTTTTTTTTTATCCTGCCTTTATTATCTTTATAAATAACTCAGGGTGGTGAATGTACCTAATCCTCCTTCCACAGGGCTGGAGATTATTCCAAAGAGAACTATCTCCTTGTGTTTTTGATACCAGTTTCCATCCATTCATTTATTCATTCATTCATAGGCTACTCTCTTTTTTATAATTCTGAGCAGGTTGCAAAATAAAACAATATAAAGTATGAATGTATGAAACCTTAAAAAGAAGAATTTGGAAAAACAACACCAAAACACCACACAGATGCTCTACCATCTACTGTAACCCAACACTTGATGGGGGGGGCAGGTTTTGAGGGCTTGTTAAGTTAAGGTCAGGGTGACAATCATACAAATCTCAGGGGAAATATTATTCCAGAGGGCAGGAGTCATGACAAAGAAGGGCCACTTCCTGGCTTTCCCCTCCCAGAAGACCACGCCTGTGCCTTTCTTAAACAGGCTTTTGGTTTGTTAATCTTTTATTCGTCCTAATGAAATAGAAGCGTGTAGGTACACCAAAGGCATCAATGTCTCTTGTCACAATGCTTTCAGCTACCGGAACAATTGCTGTATATCGTTAGTCCTAAATTATGACAGCTGTGTGTGTGTGTGTGTGTGTGTGTGTGTTTTTAATGTTCCCACTTTAAGGAGTTTGTAATATATAATTAGACAAAAGGGAAACAACAAAAAGAAGGCGGGAAATTGAGGTGGAGAAAGAAAGAGAAAAATATGGCATGCTGTTTAGTATATTTTGTCATTTTTTTCTCCTCCCCCAGGTTTCATTTCAAAGAAGGGACAAAAAGGTGTCATGAAAATACGTCGGAAAAGAAAGAAACAAGTAGTCAAGCTGGTGGATGGGGCAATTGTTATTGAAAGGATTTGAGCACTATATAATTAAACACTCTGAAAATGTTTCATTTTAAGATCTACTATTCTTATATTACCCACATTATTTAACAATGTACCATACAAGTTATTTATCAAGGTTTTCTATAGCAACCTTTATGTCTCTCTATTCCCCTGGCGATTTGCCAGTTAGGAACCAAACCTTTTACTGTAAAATTAATGGTGTGGGGTTTTTTTTCTATGATTATTACATAGAATTGCAGAAAAAAAGGCTGTGATCCAGAACTAGCTCACTTTATCTTCTTATTCTGACATTATCCAATCACTCTGACCCGTATATCATACAGAATTTGCTGAATATACAGCCTTGTGACTGAAGATCACTTTGTTTTACTCTCATAGGTAATTGATTTGCCTGAAGACTGATTCCTTGCTATATGGTTCCTTAGGCAATAGAATATTATTGGACTCCTTTGGATATAATTGTTGAACCTAATATGACAATATACAGTTTAGAATAATTATTTCAATTGTTAGATACTATGGAATCTAGAAATTTAGAAAAAGAAGTTTAATCCTTCAGTCTGCAGAGAAATATTATATCAGCTTATTGCAACTGTAATAAACCTTGACAATAAAAAGGATAGTGTTTTGTAACAAAAATACACAGGAAGAAATAAATTAGTGCTTTCCAAGTCACAAAATTCACTAAGAAATATGTTAAACAAGACTTCAATTTCATTTAAATTTCTATTTTAAAAGCCAAAGGTTTAAATTAATACAAGCTTTAGTATGGCTGTGCAAAAATCTGGATTCAAATCGATCAATGCAATTCAGTGCAAATGGGTGCACAACTATCACCTTCAGAGGCTCCTTGAAGCAGTATTATCAAAACTAAATCACTGATTGGTTTTTTTTTATTATAAATATATAGTCAAAATCTATATATAAAGCCCTGCTAATTAGGCATTTCTAAATTTTACTGCATGTTTTTAAACTAGTTGCTTCCTGAGCATTTTTAAATAATGAACCAGATTCTTTCTTTTTATATTCTGTAAATTTAGCATATAGTTTTGCATTTATTTTATCCCTTTATAATAATATCTAAGAATTGTCGAGCTAAATGATGTTTTTTTTTAAAAAAAATCTGTTATATAAATACATAATGTAGGAAACCATACTGTAATGTTATATTTCTTTTTTAGCATGTCAGTGTCTTCAGATGTATATAAACCCTTTTCAGTCTTTCTATCAAATCACTGTTTTTAATTACTCTTGGGTTGAATTAGGGAAGGAGGCCTCTAATAAATCTTTGCATCCAGAAGGGAATGAAGTAAAGCATGGTTGTGTATGGAAAAGAAGAAAGAACCTTTGTTAGTGGAACAACCTGCCTCCAGAAGTTGTTAATGCTCCAACACTGGAAGTTTTTAAGAAGAGACTGGACACCCATTTGTCTGAAATGGTATAGGATTTCCTGCCTGAGCAGGGGGTTAGACTAGATGACCTCCAAGGTCCTTTCCATCATCATCATCATCATCATCATCATTATTATTATTATTAACCAGAAATAAGACTTGAGGATTGGTATTTATGGGGGATTTCTGATGAAATGATCATTTGACTCCAAGAAGGGACAAGAAGATGCTGAGCCATTACAAGAAAGCAGAAAACATAAAGAAATTCAAAGCAACAACTTAAAGTAGAGGGCCTTGGACAGGACTTCAAGATTCTGTTAACATATCAAAACCACATTAAAACTTTATTCCAAAATTTTGTAGTAACTTCTGTGGGTTTATTTATTTCAATTTAGAGACTGCCCAACTCCTCAATGACTGTGGGCAGACAACTTTAAACAAAACTGAAGTGAACAGAAGGGAATAAATCTAAGGGAATTTAAATCCTAGGAGAACAACCAGGTTTTGAGTAAATTGCAGAATAATATAAGGGAAGGTTATGATGATAGAGGAGCATTCCAGAAGACAGGTGTTGCAATCAAGTAACTGTTTCCCAGATCCTGCAAGATGGTGAACTAGGTATGTCTAGTCAAATGAAGAGAAGGACTATGGGTGATACAATAGCAGTCTTCCAGTATTTGAGGGGCAGCCACAGAAAATGGGTTGATCCATTCTCCAAAGCACCTGAGGGCAAGACAGAGTATCAAAGATAATCCTAGAAAATCCAAGTTCCTATAATTAAGGAGAAATTTCCTAACAGAACAATTAATCAGTTGAACAATTAACCTCTGGAAGTTGGAGTTAATCCATCGCTAAAGGTTTTCAAGAAGAGACTGGATAGCTATTTGTTCAGAATGCCATAGGGCTTGAGCAGGGGGTTGGGCTAGGTACAAGGGTAGGCAACCTTGGCTTTTTTATGACTTGTGGACTTCAACTCCCAGAATTCCATGTGTCATAAAAGAGCCAAGGTTGCCTACCCCTGCAACTAGGAGACTTCCAAGCTACCTTCCAATTCTGTTATTCTATGTTCTATGTTGTTTAATAAATGGGATCTGGCATGCATTCATCCTGATTTATCTGACCAGCCAGGCATAAACATTTGGAGTCCACTATCACTTCCCATTATCACTTCTTTTAGCAGCTGCAACACACTGCTGACTCATACTTAATCTGTCATCTCCCAGAAGCAAGGCTCCTTCTCACAAATACTACTGTTGACTTCAGTAACACCAATGTTGTACATGTGCATGTTTTTTTTTCTACTTAAGTGCAGAAAAACTATACAATTTGAGGTAGGGTCCATGTCAAATCTATCAAAAGTTTTTTTGAACCTTGTACCACATGGCTGAGGAATTCTGGGAGTTGGAAGTCCACAAGTCATAAAATGGCCAAGTTTGAAGACCCCTGCCCTATTGACTTGCTTTTTTGGAAGCTCCCTGGGAAAGTCCTAAATGGCATGTAAATACATACTGATTTCTAAGTGTCAGATTTTAATCACATGACCACGGGGATGCTGTGACAGGTAGTAAGTCTGAGAACTGCTCATAAGTTACATTTTTCAAGCACCTTCATAATTCAAATAGTCATTAAACAAATTGTCCGAAGTCAAGGATTACCTGTATGTGTAACGATGCCAAGAAAAAGACTCAGGCATGTCTTGGGCAGAGGTTTGAAGCTGCATGACACATCTTCACACAGCTTGACAAACTCTGAGTTTATTGTTTCTTATATACTTTTTACATACATAGGCTTTACCATTAACTGCTGACATTTTACATTTAGAAGTTTAACCTTTAGTTGTTGACATAAAGTAATTGAAAAATTCCTTCATATAAGCAATTATTTTCTAGTAACACATTACCTGTTGAGAGCAGGTAAAAACAAATACAGGTAAATTAGAAAAGAAGAAAGAACTGATAAAGACAAGAAGAGATAAAGACAGGAAGAGATAAGGGGGAACTTAAAGCATATTATTTATTTAGGTGGGTAAGATATTAAGTCAAAAGGGGGTGTTCTTTTGGCTGCTTCCTTGGGACAAGGGATATCAAAAGGTTATGAGGTTTGTGGGGGGCAATGCATGGCAGTTTGCTGCACGTGCAAATTCCTCCACATGTATGTATATCTGCCCTTCTGATCTAATGACTTTAAGTGGCTCACAATGAAAATATAAAACCAGCATAATACATTTTCTTTTAAAAAATAAAATGTGATTAAGGAACAACGCATATATACTGCACCCCATTTACAAGCTGGTTCCAATGAAAAACCAGATCTTGGTTCCAGAAGGCTAACAGGATTGGGACCAGCTGGATGTCTAGTGCAGGGGTAGCCAACCTTGGCTCTTTTATGACTCATGGACTTCAACTCCCAGAATTCTTGAGCCAGCCATGTTGGCTCAGGAATTCTGGGAGTTGAACTCCACGAGTCATAAAAGAGCCAAGGTTGCCTACCCCTGGTCTAGTGGATACCATTCTGTATGCAAATAGCATGAATTGGAAATTATACTGCCTAGATGGTGCTACTTCATGGGGAAACCTCTCGTTGTCTCTGACTTGTCCTACAGATTTAGATAGAGGTAATCTCTTCTATCAAACTCTGCATCTTCTTGGACCCAAAAGTTGTATCTCCTTTGTGGCAATGACTGCCCTCAGAAAGCATCTATTGGAAAAATTGGATGGCCCTGACCCTGTTAGCCTTTTTCAAGGTTTGGAAACCCTGCTATTTTATACATGCATACATACATACATACATACATACATACATACATACATACATACAGTGATGGGATTCAGCCAGTTTGCACCACTTCAGCAGAACCGGTAGTTAATTTTTTGTTGCCCAGGCCCAGAATGGATTTCCAGAAGCAGCATCCACACAAAGAACTGGTTGTTCACATATTTGAATCCCCCCACTGCATGCATACATACATATATACATACATGCATGCATGCATGCATACATACAAACAAACAAACAAACAAACAAACAAACAAACAAACAGAGAGAGACCCTTAAACATTTTAAATACTGTTAACAAACATTTCAAGCACTGCCCTAGACCAGATGTTTTTGGTTAAGATTCAGTTCAAAGTTGAAAGAGGAAAAAAAAGTCAAATAATATTTCTTATATCAGACCTCCCTCTGCTGGTTGAAAAGAAAAGTAAAAATGTAAAACTTCATCCAACTTAATTGAAATTTGTTTCATGATGTATGCTTGATTAAGGCAGATAAGCTAATATCTAAACATAATTGTCTCCAGATTGGTAAAATCCTTATCATTATAATTGTACTAATATGTCATTTTTTACTAACCCCAATTTGCATTTAGGTGTCTTCACTAAACAAAACGAGGGGAGGAACTAGAATAAATCAAACGTCACCAGATACAGCTTTTAATTGTCCTTATAAACAAATTTTGCAGTTCTAAAATATTATAGATGAACAAATAGAGTCAACCTGAAAAGTTAATTAAACTCTCATCCTAGATTGTATATGCATAAATTGCAAATCCCCAATGTAAGAAGAGATGTTGAAAAGTTCAAAAGAAATATAATGAAAAAGAAAGTAGGGGATAATTCTATGATAATAAAGTTTAACTATACCTGAAAGTTTTAATAAAAATTAAAACTGCCTTTCACTGATCACTCCCCACTGTATAACTGTAGATTGCTTTCAATAAAAGATTAAAATCTCCTTCAAGATTTTATAGCCCTCCAAATTCACCTTCTTCAAAACAGCCCCAGACAAAATTGCTGTTCTATGGTTCTTGACAGTTAACAATAATCAAGAATGGACTTTAACTTAAGATATTATCTTTCATGAACAAACTCTGTGTATTCCCTAATAAGCTGCAATCTTGAATCTGACTTCTGAGGAGTGTGCAATTTCCCCCCCAAATTTATGTCATCTATAGATTTGACTGTGTCTTTTAAATATGAAAGTGATGAATAGTACTGGACTTAGAACAGAATCATATATCCATTAAGAATATTTTGAATGAACTGCAAATCCATTTGGCAGTGGAATCATCCACCCCACATTGTTTTTAATGCTATGGTCAACCTAATCAAATACCTAAGTACATCACATTCACAGCATCCCTTTAGTTTACTAATCTACTCATATTATCTGTCTGTCTGTCTGTCTGTCTGTCTATCCATCCATCCATCTATCTGTATGTGCATGTGTGATTTTTACTCTTAAATTTGATAATTTTACTTTATTATATTTTTGGGGCTGCATTTTATCAGTTTTTGCAAAAAATTATAATGCTGTTTTATGATGCTCTTTGACAAGATATTTACTAGATAGATGATAGATAGATAGGTAGATAGATAGATAGATAGATAGATAGATAGATAGATAGATAGATAGATAGATAGATAGATAGATATAAAATACACACACACACTCTCTATGAAGGAGGACTCAGAGACAATCCAACTCATGGTGGCAGGAACAGCATACATTGAATGGCACAACCAAGTAAGTGGCATTTGCACAGAGTATGGGCTAGACCCCCCCCCCATGAGAGATCCCATAGAAAGTTGTGGAGAATAAGAGGACTAAAATCCTGGGAGACTTCCAGATCTAAACGGACAGACAATACATTATATAAGGACCAGAAGACAGCAGTGGTGATAAAAAGGAGTAGTCCCTAGTATGGAGAAGTACTAGGGACTAAAAGAGGAACTAGACTAGAGAGGGTGTGGAAAATAAAAGCCAAAGTGGTCCCAGATGTGATAGGAGCATCCTCTGATTCCTAAAAAGGGAAAATAGCTTCAACAGATTCCAGGAAGAACGTCAAGATCTCTTTCCAGAAAAGTGAAGTACTAGGAACAGCTAAGATATTGTGCAGAACCCTTAAACTCCCAGGCTTCTGACAGAAGAACCGAGATTGAGGTAGACACAGACCACCCATAAAGGTGAGAAGGGAATTCATACATAACATACAGTAAGTGTAGAAATTGAGCTGTATCTCTCTCTCTCTTTCTGAGATCACAAAGCCAATTAGGTTAAAAGGGAAAGGGCTACTTTGGAGGTGGTTACCTTTTGAGAACTGTATGCAATGAAATCTCATTTTAATGTACGCTGATTAAAGCGACAATAAAGTTATTCTATTCTATTTTTTCATTAATGCTGCTTAACTGTTAAAACTATATAGGCTTTTAACCCTGACGATGTTGGAAGTTCCCAACGAAAGCTCGGTTTTATTAAATTATTTTCCTATTTGGATCCTCCTGGTGGTCGTGAGTTATTTGTTTTATACTATGAATATACCCAGGAGTCATATTTTTACTGACATTATCATATATATATATCTGGAAACTGATACATATATGGAAGAAAGACTGTTTCCTTCGGATTGCTGGTAAATTACATAGGGTGAACAATGAGATATGATAATCCGTCATATGATGACTGATAACTCTATGTCAGTCATTGTATCACATTGCAGATAATATTAGTACCCATCTCTCATTCCTCCATTTGAACTCTAAGGCGAATGATGAATTATTGATCTTCCAAATATCTTAGGAAAAAAATATTTGGTGAGTACTTATCTATAGAAATATATGTGTGTATTTAAACTTTCTGTAATTATGCTAACATATCAAAAGAATATTTCTTTTGAAATTTCAGTGTTCGTTAGAGACATTAGGTTGTGGTAGAGGGAAAAATCCCACTGGAGGGGTGAGTTTGGATGTTATTAAGAGTAGGAAAATGATGTTGGGACAGCAGCTAAGCAAATGGGCCTTCCTTACTTTGGCAAGTAAATTGAGGTAATAAACAGATTGACAACTATTGCTATTGTTTATGTCAGATTAATATACAGAAAATTAAATAATATTTTAAAAAATGATTAATGTATCCCACTCTCTTCATTTCCCCCAGCGCTTTAAAAAGTAAAACTGCCTTGAAAGATTACTGCAGCTTCTTGAAGCTAAAGGTACTTTGTTATAATTTAGTATGTTTTAGGATTTGACTCTTTAGGGATTTTAGAATATCTTCCCTATAGTAATCCAGAAGGCACATTATTAGGCTTTGCCCAGAAAAAAGTTTTTCTTAATTTGGAGAATGCCAGTAAAGAAAGATAATTAGCTGTCTCCCAAAGCCCTTTGTCACCCAAGCCCTATTTCTCTGTGATAAGCTACTTACTGCCTGAAGTTCAGTGTCATTAAATCTTTGAAGAAGGGTGCATTTGGCAAGGTCATAGCCCAAGATTCATAGAAAGATAGCTGATAAGTCATTTGTTTTTGTTCTATGACATTGTTCAAGCTAAAGGAGCATTCACTAATTAATGGGGGTAGTCCTGAGGAAAAGAACTGGACCTTCTGTTAGCAGTTTAACATCAATCTCCATGCCCTCACTTCAATTTTACATATCTCTGTTTTTAACCTGACCAGAGTATTGAATACGTCTCTGGGTGCTACAAGTATAGATAACAGAAATTTAATTTGGGGCACTATAGAAGTAGTAGACCTAGTGCAAGACCTAGACAGACTTTTGGTCTATTTAGCTTAGCTTAGGCTTAGGCTCTTACTACAAGTGTTTTTTTCAGGACCCAACACTATCTGGAACTGTTAACTGAGGACTGAACACAGTAACAAAGCAGATGTTTTCCACTGACCTGCTACCCTTCTTTGATTCCCCCCATCTTGAAACATTTTTCCAAGTCCAGTGATGAAGATCTCCTCCCCTTTTTTTCTTCCAAGTTCATCTTATTGATATAATTGGTAATTGGTTACTCATTAAAAACTATTGCCTATTCTGTCAGTCTACTTTAGTACTATGGCAGTACTAATCTGTCATAGTATTAGTCTTGTCTAGTTAGACAAGTAACATGATTACTCATTGAATACATGTGGTAACTTATGTTATGACTCCCTATATGTTCTTTGTTACTTGTACAAATATACAGACATTAGTACCATGATGGTCTGACCTGGTTTAGAAATATTTGCAGTCACCTTTCCCTGTCTGTACCAGATGCCATCTGGTGACATGTCCATCCTCTAGATCAGTGGTTCTCAACTTTTTTAAGTCGAGGACTACTCAACCGGTCGTAAGTCGAGGACTACTCAACTGGTGCAGCACTGTTTGCAGAATGGGACTTTTGGCGGGCTCAGCAGGGCAGAGACAGCCTGGACAATTCCTATTGGCTTTTGAAAGCCAATAGAATTAGACTCTATTCAAGAGAGTCTATTCTATTCTGAAATGGTCGTTCGACCCCAAATGGGGTCCCGACCCACAGGTTGAGAACCACTGCTCTAGTTCTTGTCTTGTGATTTGTTGATTTGTGGATTTATCCATACTGCCTAGTTGCCCCATTACCAGAACAGATTGGCATCTATTTAAGGAAGGCAGAAATGAATGATGTTGCCTTCTTTTAATCTTCCGCTTACTTTCAAGGCAACCTTAGATGCATTTTCTGCTTCATTTCCAGAAAATGTCTTATATTGCCTTGAGGTTCCTGTCTATTTTGGATACCATGCTTCAACTTCTTCACAGGCTAATCCCAGAAGTTCATTGGCTAATTCGCAAAGGCACAAATGTCCTTTCAAGCGTCTCTACTTCTCTAATAACTTTTAGAACTGTCTTTTACTTTGTCTGTTGCAATAGCACAATGATTATAATGTTTGCCTTGTAAATAGAATATTGCTGTTTTGGAATCTGCCAAATTCCAATCATCTGGGATAAAAGGGACTCACTCCTAGTTCCCAAATAGCCATTAGAGCTATACAAGCCAAGAGTTATAGCAATTTGCAATTATAGCACTCATGGTAAAGGTAGCTATAAAAAAAATAAACCAAACCAGAAAAGCAATAGGAGTGTTGTTTTTTTTTTTAAAAAAGTTGTGCATGCATTTTAAGCTTTAATTTTAGTCATATATAAATTCAATGTAATTTAACCTTCCTGACAGTTAGAACAATTAACCAGTGGAACAACCTGCCTCCAGAAGCGCTGAATGCTCCAATACTGGAAGTTTTTAAGAAGAGACTGGACAGCCATTTTTCCAAAATGGTATAGGGTTTCCTGCCTGAGCAGGGGGTTGGACTAGATGACCTCCAAGGTCTCTTCCAACTTTACTATTATTATTATTATTGTTGTTGTTGTTGTTGTTGTTATTATTATTATTATTATTAACTTGTGTGCGTATGTGGAAGAGAGAGGAGAGGAGAGGAGAGGAGAGGAAAGGACAGGAAGATGCACAGATAAACCTTTATGTATATGAGATGATCTGTTCACAGGAAGAAAAATGACTGGCAATTACTTTCCTAAAATGAAAACTATGCAATGGTATCCTACAGTCCAGAATAAATAAGTTGCAAGCTGATATCAAAATGTCTCAGTTCAGTCCAGGCAGAATTTTCTAAAGTCAGCTTAGAATCAAACTGGCATGAGCACAGACCAGGAAGGGCAAATATTTCATCTGCCATCTCTACATTATGAAACTATGATATTCATTTCCACATTTTGGTTGATCTTGGATTTTCTATTCAGTGCCTCCTACCTGTTAACTAGCCTTCCTGTCTCGGTTAGTATCTTATTCATGGCACCTCAATGGCCTTCATTTGAGGCTGCCTGCCTGATCTTTTGCAATGGGCGTTGAAGCACCTCAACTCCAAAACCAAGGGAACTTTGCTGTCAACTGCAGCTCTTCCATCCTCGGGGTGCATGCTCAAGAATACTAATTGCACCTCCTTCCACCCTCGGGTGCATGCTTAAGAAATGTCTGCATGGTTAGTAGAGGCAGAAAAAGTCACAATGTGACTTCCCTTACAACGTTGTGTTTGCTAAGATTACACCCTGTGATATTGAACTTAGTTGACTGAAACTCTGTGAGAAATTTGCTTCATATCTAGATGGATCTCTGTAATAGTACAAGCAAAAGATTTAACATCTAATCTGTTTTTTCAACATAGTTATTTCTCAGAAGCTACTAGCAAGACTTAGCAGCTTTCATCAGGCTTTCAAGATCAAAGGATAAGCTGATATGTACAGCTTCTTAAAACAGTTTTTTCTTAAAAATATCTTCACATCTAAGCAGTTTTAGGTGTATTACATCACAGGAACAAGAAGAAAGAGATCTGGGGCCCATGCTCAGAGATTATTTATTAGAATAGCTGAGGCACAGCTCTATAAAATAGAGGAACATGAGCTGCTGATGTGAGTCCTGTATTACAGAGTTTGTTCTTCTACAGTATGTGTATTTAAATATATTAAAAATATTACTCTTCATGTTTACAGATACTGTCCTGAAAAAGTTAGGAAACCAATTTGGAACTCAAGTATTCAATAGAAAAAGAAATTTCAGTTCCTCACAGAGATTTCTTTTTTCTTTTTTTTTCTTTTGAAAAAAAAATATTTTTCATTTTTCAATACATTTGATACATTCAATACATTATAAAAAATACCTTTGAAATAAATTCATACATAAAACCTTAGGTGTCGCTCGTCCGTCTCCCCCCCCCACTGTATTCGCCCTCTCTACCTTCCTTCCTGACTTCCCTCCTCCCTCTCTCCTCTCTTCACCTCTCTCCCCTCATCCCTTCCTCCCATCCTACTTCCTTCCATCCCTTCCTCCTCCCCTCTCATCCCTCTTCAGATACAGTTCAGGGGAAATACCCAAGCGGCATCTCTCTCTAAATTATGATACCTATTTTATACATTAATATTTCTATTTATCTAACCTACTTAATCCCACCCATCCCCACCCCCCCTACCCCCCCCCCACTTCCCAGAGCAGAATACAGGGTTATTGTAAACAAAACAAACACAATCTATAACTTTTAAAACAAAAAATATATACAATAAACAAATTCATACTTAACCCTTAACTCCCTCTAAACTTTAACTTCATAATAATATAAACAAATCTATTATAAATCATTTATTATAAAATTCTATAAATAATAATTATTATTTCTTTCAAGAAAAAATTTAATCATAAAATAAATGGAACTTTAAAGTTCCATATTTATTCTGAATATAATCTATCCATCTTCTCTATACCCTAATATATTTTTCTTGTGTATGATCCTTTAAATAAGCAGAAATCTTTGCCATTTCTGCTAAATTAGAAAACTTGAATACCCATTCTTCTAAAGTAGGCAACGAATCCTTCTTCCAATATAAACCTACAAGTAACCTTGCTGCGGTTATTAAATTCAACATTAAAATAGTTTCATTAACATCTAAATCTATAAAAATACCCAACAAAAATAATCGAGGAGTAAACTTTATCTTCTTTTTAAAAATCTTTTGAATGTTCCACCAAATCATTATCCAAAAAGCTTTAACATTCTTACAGGTCCACCAAACATGAAAATAAGTTGCATCAATACTACCACACTTCCAACATTTGGGTTGTAAGTTAGGATACATACAAGACAGTTTTTTAGGATCCAAATGCCACCTATAAAACATTTTGTAAAAATTTTCCCTCAAATTTTGGGCCTGTGTAAATTTGACATTTCTAATCCAAATAGTCTCTCATAAATCCAATAAAATCGGTTCCTGGATATTCTGGGCCCATTTAATCATACAATCTTTTACCAACTCTATTTCCGAGTCCAGTTTTATTAACTCGTCATAAATTCTTTTAATATGAGCATGATTCTGATCTTTAATCTGAATTACCAAATTTTCATCTCCCAATGTTATTCCAACTTTCTTATCTACAGTCCAACTATCCACAATTTGTATATACTGAAACCATGACTGTAAGATGTTTTCTTGTCTTAGTACATCTAAAGATTTTAACTGCCAATCAGTACCTCTCTCACAGAGATTTCTTATGAGTATATAATACTGGGATTCTGTTGTGTGCTTTAGAGTAAGGTTCGCATCATTTAATTCTTGTATCTACTTTCATACTTTTATACATACATGCTTACATTTACTTTGTGCCACAAGACTTTTTATTTCACTTGTTCTGCAACAGCAGGCAACAGAGATTCATTTAGAATGTGTGCCAGTGTGCCCACAGTAAAAAACAATAACAATAAAGGTTATCTCTTAACATTTGTTTCATATTCCAGATTTAATGGTAACTTTCTGTCTTTCCTCTTCAAGGACATTCCCTGTCTTCCCCTTCTTTTCCAGCAATTGTTCTATAATTCCCAGATACATATGGGAAGATTCTTGTCAGATGCAGTGTCCATTGATACTTCTTACCAGGATACTTAGTATTTATAATTTTACATCATGCTCAGCTTAAACGCCTCTCAGATTTTCCATGTTTTTCAAAGGAAGAGAAACTACATTGTAATGGTATGATGAAAGCAAAGAAAACACATAAACATGAATAAAGCATCAAATGAACTTTGCAGGTCAACAACCAATCAACATCGTTGTTGGTTTGGTTTTGCTTCTCAAACTGCATAGTCCTTTCACACACGATACTTGCAACATGATGACTCCCCACATCAAAAGAGAATGCAGCCAATAAAGCCAACTATGGTAGTATTACATGTTGTAATATCTATATTATTTTGATTATAATTCATTTCAATGGGGAGTAGAGATTTATGTAATTCTAAAATATATCAATGTTTGATAAGGGCTCACCGCATTTTTATTGTTACCTATCTTAAGCAACAGTCTTTTGTGTCACATTGCACAAAAAGCCATTTTTTTGCACTAGGCACAAAATGAATGCATTGATTCCCCAAGTGGGTATTAGGCGCATATTTATTTGTTGAAAGCAATTGAGATTAAATTATATTAAATAGATCTAGATAAAGAATCACCTAAAATTTTCAGCTATATTGTATATTTAATAGCAGATCTTATTCTTTCTCCCCCCCCCCACCACCACCCCTTTCAGATTCTTATTTAAGCATTTTCATCCAAGACAGGAAATGAAAACAAATGAAATGATCGCAAAAGCACAGTTTGAATGTTACCAGAAATTTCTACAAGTTCCTGTGCATGAGAATACAGGTAAAAGAGTTGTTCTGGACCACAAAGGTCTGTATGTTAGAATGTTTGGCATTTATTGGGTTAAGTGCTGTCTCCTTAAGAGATGGCTTATGGGTAATGTAGTTTAACTAGTCAGCTATCCCATGTTAATAGATCAATAGTGGGAGGAAAGGAGGAGCCACTAAAGTTCATCACAAGATATCCTGGCCACGAGCCAGTTTGGAATGCTTTTGTCTGAGATAAGCACGGGGCCATCGGATGTCTCAGATGGCTCCACTCCATGTAAGACGTTGGTGTGGAGAAGCTAATGAATTTACCTAATGAAGATGAACAGATTACATTGTCCAGACGGAATCTACAAATAGCAAGTATTGTTTTCTGACTGAATACATTATGTGTTTTGAAATCATCTTTATTTGAGTTTATCTGCCTGTGATTGGATCATAATGGCATTTTGATTCATGATCAGAACAGTAAATTCATGGTTCTATCTTCACATCTGATTCTAGAGTGAGAAAAGTAAAATCAATATATCTGCCTTCATATTAACTTCAGCTTTAAAGGAAGTGCTCTGCTTGTCAGCCAGCGTTTCAAAGGGAAGGTGTTATTTGGGTGAAACCTCCTTCCCCCAAACGTTTCTGCCTGATGCATTGTATTGCTAATTTTCTTGCAAGCAAGACTGCCTCTAAATTTCAGATAAAGGCTTGGAATGGGTGATACCCCCCCCCTTGTTTATTCTCTATGTTTGTTTAAACCAGTGGTTCTCAACCTGTGGGTCGGGACCCCATTTGGGGTCGAACGACCATTTCACGGGGGTCGCCAAACAACTCAGTCCGCCATTTTTTCCTCTTTTCCTTAGCTGTGCTACTCCCTTTTATTCTATTGGTTTTTGAAAGCCAATAGAATAGACTCTCTTGAATAGAGTCTAATTCTATTGGCTTTCAAAAGCCAATAGGAATTGTCCGGGCTGTCTCTGCCCTGCTGAGCCCGCCAAAAGTCCCATTCTGCAAACGGTGCTGCACCAGTTGAGTAGTCCTCAACTTACGACCGGTTGAGTAGTCCTCGACTTACGACCAATTGGGGGTCGCGGCATTAAAAAGGTTGAGAACCACTGGTTTAAATGGAGTGAAACATCTGAAGCTGGGTCTTAACAAAGAGAGAGATTGGAATGCAACCAAGAGGCAGGCAATTAACTTTTAACTGCTTAAAAGGGGAAGAGGCTAAAACCAATGGAAAGGTTTAACGTCTGTGTTGCTAAAATCACAAGCCTTCTGAGCACATCACTTTAACAGTCTCTGCTTGGAAGTATGGAATGCAGCCTTTGACTCTTTGCATGAAAGGCTGGAAAAGTTTCTTTGCTGGCAAATTCAAAGTATATCAAACTTCTGTTGCCTTCTGTTTAACATTCAGAACGGGCGAACCCACCCACCCCCCCCCCCCGCACACCCTGCATTGCTTGAAAACAGACATTTGCCCTAGCTGGCCCCTGGCTCTGAGAACAGCCAAGGCCATAAATCAATCTGTTACCCCAAAGCGACCATTTGTTGTCATGGTAACCCAGCAATGATGAGAGGAAACTAAATCACTCCCCCTCCCCTTGGAATTCCAGCTATGTCAATGGAAAGAGGTTTTCAGAGGCTCCAATAGCAATGCAGTAGCATCCCCTGGTGGCCAATCTGCACACTATACTATTCAGCAATTTATCTGTGCTGGACTTACAACAACTTGATAATTAATTCAGCATGTAGCAGGCCTACACTAAGCCAAGAGCCCCCCCCCTAGAGGGGAAAGAAGGTACTTCACTGAATGCAATTTTCTAATTACACAGAGTGAATCTCATAGTTAAAGAGCTAGTTACCTAAATTCATCCAAAGCTACCAACACCCCCTAGAGGGAATAGAGTGAAATTCACCCAAAGTAATCATGCAAGCAGTCACCTCTAATGGTGCCCATGCTGAGGGCAAATTAAGGAGAACAAAAGGCAGCAATTAACCTTGCTTAGTATCACAAAGCTGACGACAAAGCGGATTTTAGAGAGCTAGAGGAAGCTCAGTAATTTCCTAAGCAGTTCTCAGCTTGCAACGTAACAACCAGGTGAGAGTTTATCCTGGTGGCCACAGAGGTGCAACGTGACTCTAAGAAGAAATAATTTAGCTAGCCTTTCTCCAAGCGCCCCCTGGTGGTTAAAGGATAAATTCCATGCAAGCCTTTAATCTCGCACAGAGAAAGCCCTCTAGTGGACAAAGGATGAACCTCAAAGGAAGAGCACCTCAGTAGCTGATCTGCAAGTAGCAACCCCTAGTGGCCAAGGTGACCCCTAGTGGTCAAAGGGTGAACTGTGCTGAAGTACCCACGCATACAGGAGAACGCACCCAGTGGTGCCTCCACCCACAGACAGAACCCCAGGAGCTGATCTGCGAGTAGCGACCCCTAGTGGTTAAAGAGAGAAGTTCATCAAATTTGCTTCAAAATAGTTAGGAAGTGTACTGAACCTGTCCTAGTCATGGCAGAGTGTCCCATTGATTTAGAAGAAGGGGTGCAACCAACCAGCCTAGATGAGACACCCCAACCAGTCGGCCAAGGAGAAATGCTGCAAACAGCCAACCTTGACCTGTACACAGAGGCTGATGCTTAAGCGTCAGTGAGTCCAAAGACGTCCCATGTTCCCTATGACCTGAGACAACAAAGAAAACCTACAGAAGCCATGCACTCACATCTGATGGAAAGATGGGAGTCACACTACAAGTGCCATGAAAGACATTGGAAGAAATTATTCAAACTCTACCAAGGGCCTAAGGAGGAGCTCTCCCCCGAAAGTGCGAGCAAATTGGAAGAAGATAAGGTAGATGCCTCCGCGCAATGGATGGGCTCTGAGTGGCAACTCAAAGACATTCAGGCGCAATTAGGAGACCCAACAGTTGATAGCAAGATGCAAAGCCTCAAGCTAAAAAACATGGAGCACAATAAGTTTCTAGAGAGCCCACTGTGCCTCCCAGAGTCCAAGCCTCGCCCAAGAGATAGACCAGCCAAGAGGGCCGGGTCCAAAACTTCCCGCCATTCACAAGCACCATCCCAACGGTCACATGTGGCTCCATCTCATGCCTCTGGAAAAGCCTCATTCTTTCACCATGTATCCAAGGCACATTCCAGTGTGTCACAACAATCTCACATCACAGAAGCCTCCCACCACTCAAAAGCATCTTCTCATCAGAGCCAAGCATCCAAAGCCTCAAGGGCAGAAAGCCTTGCCACCTGTCTCGCGGAAGCACAAATCAATACCGCAATGGCTGACGTTGCTGCACAAGCAGCAGTAGACAAAAAGCAGCATAGAGAAGACTTGGCCAAAGCGGAGACTGCAGCAGCTCTATGTATAGCAGAAGCAGAGTGAGAGCAAAGAGAAGCAGCTCTATGTGTAGCAGAAGCTCAGGCCAACTTTGAGATTTCCCGGCACTAACAGAAAGCAAAAGAGGCAGCCGCAATAGAAGCAATTCTACAGAGAGAGCTGGAAGACGTCACATCTACGCACAGATTGGAAGGACTAGGAAGGGAAAGCAGGCCTACGTGGAAAACCAAAGTGTGTTTCACCGTGAGCAGGTCAGAGTGCCACAGCTATCCATAAACCCCCCAAGACTGAGTAGATAAAGAGAAGAATCTCAATAGCCAGATGTGCCGAGCAGCCAGAGAGATGTCATCACAACATCTAGGTCACAAGATCTTCCCACCGTTGCTGCCCCATTGAACCCACCGAACCATACCACTTATGGCAATCGGATGGGTCTACATGCAGCAGCAACGGCTACACAGCAGGAAGTACTACAAGATCTTCCCACCGTTGCTGCCCCATTGAATCCACCGAACCATACCACTGATGGTAACCGGATGGGTCCACCTGCAGTGACAATGGCTACACAGCAGGAAGTGTCACAAGATCTTCCCACCATTGCTGCTCCATTGAACCCAATGAACCATGCCACTGATGGCAACCGGATGAGTCCACCTACAGTGGCAACGGCCCCACAGCAGAACCAGTTGTCACTTGGGGATGAGATTGCAAGAACTCAAGCCAAACTAGAGTCCCTGCTGTGCCAACAAGAGACAACGCCCCAAGAAACCGCTACCAGACCTAACCACAGAGAACCTCGACCACCAGCTGTGCCAGCTACCAGGGAGCCAGCTATGCACCACCCGAAAGATGAGAAACCCTCCAACAAGTAAGCTTGCAAGAACTCAGGTCACCTCAGCTCAACACCAGAGCAGAGGAATTCAGACCAAGCCAACAAGGTCCCTTGCACGTGACATAGCAAGATATCCTCAGTGGACAACACACTGAAGAAAGTCATCAGCTGGACATGGCACATGCCCCTGCTCCCAGAAGAAATGCACCACCTCCACCAGACTACAGCATATACACGGGATTGATGTATCCTCCAACACTTGGTGGAAGAAAGTCGGACATGGTATCCAGAGGCGTAAAAAAATTCTCCGACAAACCAGGGAAAGACTATTTAGTATGGAAACATCTTTTCAAGCAAGGCCTCTGTGGAGAGAGGTTACACCCTGGGGAAGACCTCGTTCTTATATCGCAATGGCTAGGTTCCGAATCCTCAAAGGCAGTGGAGGCGATCCTCGAACCACGTTTAGCCGACCTACCCACCGTCTTTCAACGAGCCTGGGAAATGCTCAACAAATGCTATGGGGCACCTTCTTTGGCACAGGCCTCATTCCTACAGGAACTCTATGACTTTCCTACTATCAATATCAATGATCCTAGTCAGATTTGGAGATTCTCCACCTTATGAAAAGAGCTCTGGGCAGCACAAGAAAAGGGCACCATGCCTGGACTTGCCTGCCTTCAGCAGTTTGACACACAGAACATTATCACTGAAAACTACCAAGACAGTTGAAAGATAAATGGTTTGATATGACCCAGTCCCACAGGAAATAGTACCTCAACAAACCTCCACCCTTTGCTGCTCTTGCACAATTTGTTTCCAATCAATCAGATATGTACAATGATCCTAACTACCTTGACATCCATGAAACACGTTTCATGATGCCAAAACGAACCAATCACAACTTTGGCTCTAATAGAGGTTCCTTCCAAGCCACAAAGAACAGAACTCCTATTTCAGTGTACAAAATAGAGATCATGACTCAGCCAAAGAAGACTTCAGACGAACAAATACCAAGGAGTACTCATTTGAAACCTCGCCCACCAAGAAAAGGCCTGACTTATCCAATTCATAAATCTTCACACTCTCTAAACAATTGCAGAGAATTTGGGAAAAAATCCCTGGACGATCGAAAGGCCCTATTCAAAGAGCATAGAGTATGCTTCAAATGCTGTGACTCTATAGATCACATGACCAAAGATTGCGCAGTCAGGGTTAAATGCCACCTGTGTAACAATGATAAGCACCCAGCATCCTTGCATTTAGAATCTAAGAAACCTTCTGAGGATTCACAACAAGTTACTTCAAAACCTCCTACAATGACGGAGACTAAACATGACCCCAAAGAGCAGCCAGAAATGTACGGAACATACTACACAGATATATGTGGCAACTCACCATGTCCTCCTTCATGCTCACCCGTCTGTCTGGCAAAAGTCTACCCCAACGGGCAACCTGAAAGGGCTATAAAGATGTACGCCAAACTAGATGCACATAGCAAGGTCACAATAGCTAAGCCTGCCTTTTTCGACCTCTTTGACTTCCCGAGTGAACTGAAGCATTTTGCAATAAATACGTGCACAGTACCAATGCGCATGGCGGGGAGGAAAATCACAGGTCTTTGCATAGAATCGATAGACAGAAGTTCACATTTCCTGTTACCATCAGTGTTGGAATGGTAGACCTTGCCAGATGTTCACTGCAAAATTTCAACATCAGAGGCAGCAAGAAAAATACCTCACTTAGCACACATAGCCAATTTAATCCCTCCTCTAGATCCCAAAGCTGAAATCCTACTCATGGTGGGACAAGATGCCCCAGAGTCCATTGGTTCCAATGAAAGAATCAAAGGTCCACCAGGCACCCCAGTAGCCATTAAGATGGAACTCGGATGAGCCATAAGAGGGATGGTTTGTGTTGATCAACAGCAAACCCCAACCCAGGTGAGCATCCCAAAAACTTCCATTCCCAGTAATGGAAGAGCACCTCACCTAAAACCACATCTAGAACACTGCATGCTTGTGAAACTAAACCTATTTTGGAAGCAACAGTGTTCCAGAATAGTAAGAATTACAACAACTTAGCCTTGTCCATAGAGGACAAACAATGTCTGCAGCTACACGTGTTCTCCATGAGCACCACACACTGGGATGAGCTGCATCTACCAGAACAGAAACAAGACAGGGAGTCGTGGAGTGTACTCCCAAGATGTTTCCAGAGTGCACGTATGTCTTCAGCTCATCCACCACCATACAAAGGAAAGAATTGTATGCTTTCTCAGATGTGTCAATGAAGGCAAATGCAGCCTTAAGATATGTCACAGTCTACAGTGGGGAGAGCCACACTTGCGTCGTTTTTTATTGTAACCATAAGATATAACAGAATCTAGAGCAGGGAGAGCTGCAGTCTCGGTGTCTTCTTTGGAAAAGCAATACTAACAATACAACAAGGCCACACCGTACCAAGGTTAGAACTATGTGGTACCACTTTGGCTGTAAAACTCACCAACTTGATAGCGAAGATGTTGTGCCTTGAACTACAGTCTACCACCTTCTATGCAGACAGCAAAGTGATGTCAAGCTATATCTGCAAACAAAGCAGACACTTCTATGTCTATGTAGGCAACAGAATAAAAAAGATTGAAACATCTTTAAGCCCTGAACGATGGCAACATGCGCCAACAGATAAGAACATTGTGAATCAAGTTAAGTGGCCCAACCTTGCCACACAGTTAACAAAATTGATCTGGCTAGAAGGTCCTGAGTTCTTAGCTTGTCCAAACAGCCAGCTGCCACAAAGACCACAACACTACATGCTTCCAGCTCCAGATCAACGTGCCAACGTTCAACCTCAGCCACCTAGTAAATCTCAACCAATTAGCTTCAAAACCTCCTCTTCTTTGGAGACCTAAGCGGAGACCCCTGAGATTGGGCACAGTTTTGATCATCTTGATCACTTGTCTTAGCATCCCAAGAATTAATCTTGTAGGAGCCTGCAAGGACCTACAGACTATTGAAGATATTTGTCATGATCCAGTGATTGACAAATGTCTGAAGGCCAAAAATTGCCTTCCCCATGCATCTAACATGGGTGAAGCATGGGAGCGCATGATTGGCATACCCCACAAAATCATGGACTCTATGTCATCAAAGACACCCACACCCACACATGAAGTCTTCACCACCCTCATGACAAGGATTCTTTACAGCAGTTATAACTATTGCTATAAATTTACCTCTTACTCTATGGTTACAACATAACTCTCTTCTTTCTATAACCTATCCTCTGTGATCATTTTCTGGAAAATTGAGATGAACAAGAACAAATGTATTATAGATTAAAACTGAATGTATTCTCCTTAATTTTTAGGTTCTTACTGCAATAGAACATGGGATGGCTGGTTATGCTGGGATGACACTCCTGCAGGAAAAACAGCCGAACAGAACTGTCCACCTTACTTTCAGGATTTTGATTATAGTGGTAAATAATTAGAATTCTTTGTCCACTGGCACTGCTGTAAAGACTGAGATGAAAATTAGCAGCTGGACCTCTGCCTCATGAGGATCCCAAGTAGAATTCCCATCTGCTCACATTTTTCCAAACCCTCAAAAGATTGTTAATGCTCTTCCCACTTTCCCATTTTTTCAGGGAATATCAAGTGACTTCTGACTTTCCTATTAAATTTAGAGAAGTGGTAGGCTGAATTGAGAAATTTGAACCATGCCTGTCATATTGATTCCCCATGTTTCCTCTCTTTTCCGCATCTTGTTTAGCACTTCTTCAATCTTACCAGAGCTACTGTATTTATTAACAATATAAGTTGTCTGTACAGAAAACTCAAGAGAGAAGCATTAGTAATGACGCTTTGATTGCAGAGTTCTCAAACTTCTTCCTAAGAATTAAAAACAGTTTCTGCCTTGGTTAATTACAAAAAGCTAAGAAGATTTGGATTTGATGAACTGGCTTGCTTTTGATAAGACCATGCAGATAAAAGACAATCACAAAATAAATGGAAGTATAATGGCATGGCACATATACAGTAAGGAGGTTATCAAATCCAGCCAATTCTTTAAAATAGTATTTTATATGGTACTGAAATATAGAATTGACATTAAGTCCCTTGAAAACTATTAACAACAGTTCTTTTACTTTCTAGCTTGTATATACTTTATTAAATTTCTATAAAAGATAAAAACAGAAAAAAGAAATTGAAAAGGAAAAGGAAAAAAATAAGCAAGGGGCAAGAACTTCAAGGAATAAGAAAAAAAGAACAGTTATTTTATTTTCTAGAGATATATCTATTCCTTTTTCTGTCCTGAATCTGGCATAAGTCCAATCATATCATATTTTTTTTTCAGGCAAAATGTTTGAGTTGGCTATTTCTCAAATAGCAGGCCATGTAATTGTCTTCTTAAGTAACTGAAGGATAGGCCTATGAATACTCCCTTCCATGTGGAGGCCCTCTTGTTGTGGGTGAGGGGCTTGTGTGTTCGGATGAGGTTGAGAGCTATGCGGAAAAGACACCACCAAAAAATATATCAGAAGGGTCACCCAAGCCAGACAGGTCACAACTGAGGAGCCAGACTATCCAAAAACCCATTAATCACAATGAAACAACTGAAAAAGAATCCCATATTAGGTTGCAAGGGTTGACTGCCAAGGACCATGGCAGTTGCTGTCCCAGGGTAGTTGTTGAAAAGTGAATGACAGGGTTGGAGAAAAACCTAGCAACCTACTCTGCAAAAAGCTCACCAAGGAAATTCTATGGAAGGGATCTCAAACATGTCAGATGAGTGTCCAACAACAGGACACAAGAATCCCAGTTGCTGAGGCAGCCAGTAGTGGAACTTAATGTCTGTGTTGTACAGAGAAACTGTGAAACAAGTGCCCCCAAAAGACATTGTTTACATCCTGAGCAACTTTAATGCAAAAGTTAGAAAACAAGCAGAGACAGGCATCACTGGTTGTTTTGGACTAGGTGAGAGGAACAATCCAGGTGATCAGTTGGTACAATTTTGCCAAGGAAACAGATGTAGAATCATGAATACATGGTTCAAACAGCACAAGCATCACTTGTTGTTGTTGTTAAATTTGTTTGCTGCCTATCTCACCATGAGGCTACTCCAGATGGTTCACAGCCATAAAAAAATGAAATAGAAAAGGTGTAAACCAGTGGTTCTCAACCTTTCTAATGCCGTGACCCCATAATACAGTTCCCCATGTTGTGGTGACCCCCAACCACTTATACATCACCGGGTGCCAGGGGTGTGGCCAAAGAAAAGGGGGGGGGAAATGCGGACAGCCTTGTTTGGCGACCCCCGTGAAATGGTCGTTCGACCCCAAATGGGGTCCCGACCCACAGGTTGAGAACCACTGGTTTAAACAAAGTGAAAGTAAAATAAAACAATAAAATAACCAAGGAAAAAGAAAACAAAGAAAAAAGATACAACATTAGGATTAATTTAAAAAAGGAGTGGGTGGAGGGGGAGTGGTATCTAGCAGCTACCTTTAGAGTCAGATTTCCCCATTGGGTCCCCAGGCCAACTTGCAAGCCAGGCTTTAGACTCTTACATAGGAGGTTGGGGGCAGGATGTTCGAAAGTGTGGGTGCTGTGGCAGAGAAAGTTCTTCTGGATCCTGACAAAAATCATTTTGAAACAGAGAGTCAATTCAGATGAATGCTGATGTAATCTGTATTGGGAAAAACATTATGGGTGGCCATAATTTCTCATAACCTTTAATTAAAATCTGAGACTCTCAATCAGAAAAATTCCAAGGACCTAAACGTACTTCATTACTTAATTGTGCTTGAACAATACGTAAAAATATTGTTCTGTGACAGAACAATTGTTTGTATTGGTTTATTAAATAATGCTGGTGGTGATTTTAATTTTTTCTCAACAAGAAATAGCATTTAAAGTCTGTGAAGAAAATGGACATTGGTTTGTACACCCTGAGAGCAAGAGAGTATGGACCAATTACAGCCTCTGTTCTGGTAATAACCAGGATAACAAGGTAAGAGAAGTAGAAATAGAACCAGCCATCCTTCAGGAAGAGATCATATGGGCAATGAATGAACTGCCAAACAAGACTCCAGATGTTGACACTATCCCTGCAGAATTACTGAGACCTGTAGGCATTGAATCCTCTAAGATGTACCCTTTATTTTTCCATTTTATACCATCTGAAATGAGTTTATTTATTTGCTTGCATCCTGACCTGCAGTGTTCCCTCCCTTCAGATACCAACTATACCACATGTTCTAAGCATGGAGGTTAACACCAGCATGTGGCCACCATGACATCATGGAGTACTGTTACCTTCCCACCAAAGTGATACTTATTATCTACACACATTTGCATGCTGTGTTAGTTTGGCAGGAGTTGGGGCAAGGACAGGAGCTCACCCCAACGTGTGCTCCTTGGGTCTTGAACCTGGGCTGCTGGCTTTCCAGCCAACAAGCCCAGCATCTTAACCGCTGAACCTCCACGCTGCCTGCTTTATAGAGAAAGAACTATAAATTTCAAAAGTCCCTACCATTCAACCTCATGGAACAGAATAGGCGTGCTGCAGATCCCATTAGCCAAAGAATGTCAGAAGGGCACTAACTAACAAAATGAAATTCAATGGTGAAAAAAGCAAGGTTCTACATTTAGGCAAGAAAAACCAAATGCACAAGTACAGCATAGGTGGCACCATGCTCAACAGTAGTAACTGAGAGAGGAACCTCGGAGTCCTAGTAGATAATCACCTAAATATGAGCCAGCAGTGTGCTGCAGCTGCCAAAAAGGCCAACACAGTGCTAGGCTGCATTAACAGAGGGATAGAATCAAAATCACGTGAAGTATTAATGCCACTCTACAATGCCTTGGTAAGGCCACACTTGGAATACTGCATCCAGTTTTGGTCACCACGATGTAAAAAAGATGTTGAGACTCTAGAAAGAGTACAGAGAAGAGCAATAAAGATGATTAGGGGACTGGAGGCTAAAACATATAAGGTTGCTAGAATTGGGTATGTCTAGTTTAACGAAGAGAAGGACAAGGGGGGACATGATAGCAGTATTCCAATATCTCAGGGGCTGCCATAAAGAAGAGGGAATTAAGCTATTTTCCAAAGCACTGAAGGCAGGACAAGAAGCAACGGGTGGAAACTAATCAAGGAGAGAAGCAACCTAGAACTAAGGAGAAACTTCCTGACAGTGAGAAAAATTAATCAGTGGAACAGCCTGCCTCCAGAAGCAGTAAATGCTCCAACACTGGAAGTTTTTAAGAAGAGACTGGACAGCCATTTGTCCGAAATGGTGTAGGGTTTCCTTCCTGAGCAGGGGGTTGGACTAGATGACCTCCAAGGTCCCTTCCAACTTTACTACTACTACTACTACTACTACTACTACTACTACTACTACTACTACTATTATTATTAGATGAGTTTTCACTGCAGTGGTCCATGTTCTATGGAACATCCTCTCTTTGGAGATCAGAATGACCTCGCCTTGTGTTAGTCTTTCGTAAAGCCCAAGAAGCCTGGCTATGTTCCCAAGCTTGGGGTGCTGAATGGGTCAAGGGCCCCTGGCTATATTGCTCATTGGCCAAGTATCTTGCTCCTTATGTATGTTTAATTTGTTTTTGTTGGTTTTACTGCTTTTACTGTTTTAAAATGTTTTTTAATATTTTCAACTGCATTATATTTTTTTGAATTATGAGCCGCTCAGAGTCATTGATTGAGATGGGCAGCCATAGAAATTGAATAAACAAACATCACATAAATATTGTGATGTAATACGCTTGGGCCCTAAATGATGATAATGTACTTATTGTGATGGTGATGATGAGTGGTATATGTATGTATTCTTTTAGCTTTTATATTTCATGGAACACTTGCAGCAGGAACGATTGTGCATAACAACAGTTTTCTACAATCAGATTCCACTTTTGTTTCTATGTTTTATTCCAGGCAGTTTGGAATTTATACTACATTGCTATTATTGGCCTTAGCCTTTCCTTGGTTTCACTGTTGATTTCCCTTGGCATAGTCCTCTACTTTAAGTAAGTATTGTTTTAATTTTAAACAATGTGTGGTTTACTTATTTGCAAACTTTGTATGCAATACAATACAAAGACATCTCTCTCTCTCTCTCTCTCCCTCTCTCTCCAAATTAAAAAAAAAGTGCTATCAAGGTGCCTTTCAAAGTTTGGGCCACGTTATTTGAGGGACCAGCTATCTCCTATGGCAGTGCTTCTCAACGTTTGTGTGACGGCGACCCCCCGTCACACAAACATTCTGCGCATCGGCGCCGCGAAAAATGGCAGATCGCCACCTTTGGCGACCCCCGAAAAATGGTCGATCGACCCCAAATGGGGTCGCGACCCATAGGTTGAGAACCGCTGTCCTATGGTTTCTGCCCCTCTGGTAAGATTGGGCAGACTTTTTGGGACCCATCTACCAAGCAATGTCACCCATTAGGAGTCAGTGAGCAGGCCTTCTCTGGGCAACCCTTGCCCTCTCAAATGACATCTCTACAGAGATGCCTTTGGCTCCCATGCTGAGATGCCCTGGAAGTCTTTAGAAACTTGGTTGTTCTTTCAGGCCTTTGGATAGGATACTTGGGCCACTCTGTTGCTTACATTTTGTTCTTATGAGCATGCTTGTCTGGTTGCATAGGATTTACTTTTCACCATTTTCTTTTTCTTATTATTTTTTTTAATGTTAAGCCACATAGCATTCGGCTCTCTAAATCTTGTAAGTAAATAAATGAATGGTTTGGGTTTTTTTCAAAAAAAAAATTACACACTTAAATTTGGAATAATCCCAAATGTGTATGGTATTCCTTTGAGTTCAAAGAAACAAGCAGTTGTGCAGTTTACGTAGTGCAGTCTCATATTGGAAGCACAGAGTCTAAGACAATGGGGCCACTAAAACTCCATTGTTGCAGTAATTGTGGGCATTATTTGTGATATTGCTCATAGTTTTTATCAGGTTTTGATAGCACTTGTCTTCAAAGCTGATGGAGCTTAGATTTGGAATAATTCCAAGTACCTTTCAGTATTACTAAAAATTCAGGAACAGTTGCTATTGCATCTGGACTGAACGCTGAAATCAAAAGATGTTTTTGAGTTGAATGTACTGCCCTTCCAGAGAGGAATCCAATTTCCCCTTCTTGCAATACTTCAAATAGGTATTGCAAATTGAAGCTGTGTTATTGTTGCAACATTTTCCGGATTGCCATGGCTTCATCTTCTCTGTTCATTCTATGGATCTTAAGCTATGAGAAAAAAATGTGTCAAGACATTTGTGGCATTTGTTTTTCTGCTTCTCTGTCGCATGTCAAGATTGCCACATTATTAGAACACTCAAAGACAAGAATAACATACGTGTTCTTCCCTGTTGTCTATTATAAAAGTCTACTACTTTTCTTTAGGAAAAGGATTTTGCAACATGTTTCTCTCTCTGATGTGATATGTAGTTTATAAATGTAACAATGGCTGTGATAATAGCAATTTGCATTGTGACATAAGGCTTTCTCCATTCATGATTGGTAAAGAGAAGAATTGCTGTTTCTTGTCACCAGCATTACATCAAGTACAGTAAGTATCATTGGACATAGAAATATTCCAGCATCATTATGTTTATTCTTTTGGTGTCATCTATGGTAATTTATTTACCTGTTGCCAGTTTGAGGAAAGAAATATTTTGTTTATTCCTAAACAACTGCATCACATGTTAATGGCACAGAGAAAACAGTAGAGGATTAATCAGCTTCATCTGTATGCAAACATTTTAAATATTGTGGACACTCTAGTTGAAGAATATAAAAGCACTGATAAAGTTAAAAATGCAGTCATCACTGACCAGATTCTTCAAAAGACCACTGGCTTTTCTGAAAAGTTGATTTTTTTTAAAAAAAAATCCTTTAAACTGATCAGATGAATTTGTTCCTTTTGTAAATATCCCATCCTGAACTGGGAGGGATTTTTCTCTTGGGATTTGAAGCTCTTTCCAAAAAAGCTAACTGATGAGCAACTGTTTGGCACTGAGAGGACAATCAGAATCAGAATAGAGCTGGAAGGGATCTTGGAAGTCTTCTAGTCCAGTCCCCTTCTGAAGCAGGAGATCCTATACCATTCCAGACAAGTGGCTATCCAATCTTTTCTTAAAAACTCCAGTGATGAAGCACCCACAACTTCTGGAGGCAAGCTGTTCCAATGGTTAATTGTCCTCACTGTTAGGAAGTTTCTCCTTATTTCCAGGTTGCTTCTGTCCTTGATTAGTTTCCATCCATTGTTTCTTGTCCTGCTCTCTATTGCTTTGGAAAATAAACTGACCCCCTCTTCTTTGTGGCAAACTCTCAAATCCTGGAATACTGTTATAATATCTCTTCCCCCCCCCCCCGTCCTTCTTTTCTCTAGACTAGCCAAATCCAAATCCTGCAATTGTTCGTCATACGGTTTAGTCTCATCTTAGTTGCTCTTCTTTGTACTTTTTCCAAAGTCTCAACATCTTTCTTGTAATGTGGTGACCAAAACTGGATGCAGCATTCCAGGTGTGGTCTTATTAAGGATTTATAAAGTGGTACTAATACTTGGCATGATTTTGATTCTATGCCTCTGTTTATCCAACCAAGGATTGTATTAGCTTTTTTGACTGCTGCCACTCACTGCTGACTCATGTTTAAGTGATCGTCCACTAGGACTCCAAGGTCCCTCTCACACTTACTGTTTTTTTTGTGTGTGAAAAAAAAAAATTTCAATTTTACATTACATTCATAAAAAATACTTCAGATAAAGAGTAAAATAAATTTATACACACAACTTTCGGTATTGCTCACCCATTTCCCCCCAAACCCCATCCACCCTCTAACTCTTCTCTCACTTCCCTCTTCCCCTCTTCTTCCTCACTCTCCCCCTCTCCTCCTTCTCCTCAACCTTCCTACTTACTTCTCCCCTTCCTCCTATCTTCTCACTCCGGATGCGGTCCAGGGGAAATGCCCGAGCAATTCCTCTCTCCAAATTAAAACATCAATATTATATACAATAAAACTATTTCTACTTATCTGAGCTATTTAACCTCCAACCCATCATAATTTAATTTCAAATTAGGTGCTTTAAGTCCACCTCTTTCTCGAGCAACTTACTGTTTTTGAGCCACGTTTCGCCTTTGTTTTTTTCCTGCCCAGGTATAAAACCTTTTTTTAAATCCACATTGAATTTCATTTTGCTGGATAGGACCCATTGTTCAAGTCTTTTAAGATCTTACTGTCATTTGAAAATTTGATAGGTTCCCCTTCTATTCCCTCATCTAAGTCATTTATGAAGATATTGAAGAGTACTGAGCCTAAGACAGAACCTTGTGGTACCCCTCTGCTTACTTCTCTCCATGTGGATGTAGTACCATTAAGGACTACTTATTAAGTACGGTTTGTCAGCCAGTTACAATGCAGTCTCTCCCACATTTTTCTAGCTTACCAAGAAGTAGGTTGTGGTCTACTTTGTCAAATGCCTTGCTGAAGTCTAAATATACTATGTCCACATCATTTTGCTCCTTTACTAATTTAGTCACTTTGTCAAAGAATGAAATAAGATTAGTTTGGCATTATCTGTTTTTAACAAGCCCATGCTGGCTTCTAGTTATAGCTTTATTTGTTACTAGATATTCACAGATCTATATTTTGATTATTTTTTCCAGTATCTTCCCAGGTATTGATGTTAGGTTGATTGATCTGTAGTTTCCTTCCCCCCCACTTTTTTTTTTTGAAGATGGGAACCACATCAGTTTTTTTCCAATCCTCTGATAGTTCCCCAGTGCTCCAAGTTTTTTTAAAGATATGATACAATGGTTCTGAGATAACATCTGCCAGCTCCTTCAGAACTCTGGGATGTAATCCATCAGGTCCTGTTGATTTATATTCATCAAGATCAGACAGGGGTTCTCTTACTATTTTCTTGCTTATTATTTGTAGTCTGTCTTTTACAGTTATATTTTTGGTAGGTTATACTATAATTTATTTCTGTGTGAAAACTCATGCAAAGAATGAGTTAAGTAGCTCTGCTTTCACTCTACTGCCTGTTTAACAAAACCACTGCTACTCGAATATTGTATTTGACATAAAGTCATTCTGTATGCAAAAGAGATTAAAAAATCGTTTTCTCTCCTGTGTTTCTTTATAGGAGCTTGAGTTGCCCAAGGGTCAGTTTGCATAAGAATCTTTTTTTTAGTTTTATTTGTAAGTGTGTTGTATCACTTACTACTCTGGAAGGAATTGTCCAGCAGCAGCCACTGGTTACAACTCCTCCAGTGAGTATGATTTTTTTAAAAAAAGTTTCAAATTTATCAGCTTCAGCATCTAGTTGGAAATAGTGATTCAAAGCTAAGTGTGACAAGAGCCCTTTGAATAAGAGAACAGCCTGGGAAGTTTAATCTTCCTCTTGTTTGCTAAACCAGGTGGAAATTATCTGTATTATAAAACAGCCTGAATGAATTTTATGCTGTACTAAATCTGTGCTTCTCCCTGCCCACAGGTATGTACTGTGCTTCACATCTCCCAAGTCTATTTTTTTCTTTGCAACTTCTTCTGGATGCTCTGTGAAGGCATTTACCTCTACATTGTCACTGTGGTAAATGTATTTGCAAAAAGACAGGCCTTGCGGTGGTATTATTTTCTCGGCTGGGGTACGTTGTTTTCCTTTCACCTCCTCTCCTTTCTACATTACAAGAACACACACTGTAACAAGATACACTGTCATCATGTAACAAGATACACTGTCATCATGGGATAAGTAACATGCTACATTGCATCTTTGAAGTTTTTTTAAGCCCCCCTTCCTAAACCTTCTCCTCCCATTATTGTGATGGATAATAATTCTATAGAATTTGGGGGTCTCATTTCACATGCTTGACATGTTGAGTTGGATCTACAGACTCTTATGCTATCTTTAACATGGACTATAAAATTATTCTTATATTTTTAACCAGTTTTAGATGCTTACTTTAATTTAGTTTGATGCATACTAACCTCATTTTTTTCTTCTAAGACATTTTTTTATTGATTGATTATGTCCCATCAAATTAGTGTTGACTCTTGGTAGATTTTTCTCCTCAATATACATTTAGGTTACTAATATTAGAAAGCAATATTGGAGCTAAATAAATAAAATTCCTTGTGTTGTTTAAAAAAACAAACCTTATTTGTTGTTCACAGGATTCCCTTTAATTCCTGCCTCTATATATGCTGTAGCCAGAAGCATGTATTTCAATGATAAGTAAGTCAAAACTAAAATTACCCTGCCCATCTTTATTATGCTACTAAGACTGATAGTGTTTTAAGGCTGCATGATTTAGACTGAATTCAGTGAAAGTGATCAACAGACTAATAGCTTAACAGCCTAACTGCTCATTAATGATATTGTACATGCTATCATTAATACTAATGGGCTGTAGATCAAGGCTCAAATGAAGCGAGAGCAGCTTTTTAGAAGTTAATGTGCTGAAAAACTAAATATACCACCTAATATATATATATATATATATATATATATATATATATATATATATATATATGTGTGTGTGTGTGTGTGTGTGTGTGTGTGTGTGTGTGTGTGTGTGTGTGTGTGTGTGTGTGTGTTTTCTGAGGTTTTCGCGGGTATTTGTATGTAGGTCTTTGGTTGTTCGGGTTTTCTCCCGCGTAAAATTGGAAGTGTCTTGGCAACGTTTCGACGAAGTCCCATTCGTCATCTTCAGGCTGGTGTTTTCAGCTTCGTGCTTTGAGCAGCAATGTGTGGTCTTAGCTGTTTCTTCCTTTTAACTGCCAGTGGGGATATGAACTGATTGGGTGGGAGCTTGGCTGTGTTCTGATTGGGTGGAGGTGTGTTCTGAATGGTTAGGGGCTTGGCTGTGCTCTGATTGGCTGGGGGAGTGTTCTGTTTGGTTGTGCTCAGGTTAGTCTGAGTTGCAGAGGGGTTTAAGATTTTGGGCTGCCTTGCTATTTTTTGGCTTCGCGTTCGTGGTCGTGCCTCCTCTTCATGGAGGGTGTCAGTTTGCTTCATGTATGGATTGGAGGGGTTTAAAGTGGCTAATGATGCAGCTGTGGTCTGGCTTCTGGTTTGTGGTCGTGCCTCGTCATCGGTGTGGCTTTGGGTTTGTTTTTTGCGTGGATGTGTGGTGGTGACATCCTGTGTGGTTTTTGTGAGTGTGGGTCTGGTATCATTTTTTGTGTTAGGGAGTCGTTTGTCAATAAGGGCGGGTTTCCAAATGGCTGGTAGGCGGGAGGTATCATCTCGCTTGTTCATGCTGTGTGGGCGTTTTTCTATCTCGATGGCTTCTCTGATTATTCTGTTATTAAAATGTTCACTTTTGGCAATGGTTCTGGTATTTTTAAAGTCAATTTCATGTCCTGTGGCTTTAAGGTGTTGGACCAGGGAAGATGTTGGTTCCTCTTTTTTGACTGAGTTCTTATGTTCTTCAATGCGTGCACTTATTCTTCTGTTGGTTTGTCCGATGTATGTGGTGGGACAAGTGGTGCATGGGATTTCGTATACTCCTTGATTTTCTAATTCAATTTTATCTTTGGGGTTTCTAAGGATGGTGGATATTTTTCTGTTTGTGCAGAATGCTGTTTTGATGTTGTGTTTATGGAGGATCTTACTGATTCTGTCTGTGGTGCCTTTTATGTATGGGAGGAGGGCTTTGCCGTTTTCTTGTTCTTTGTCTTGGATTTTAGTGGGGGTTTCTTTTTGGATTAGGTTTGTAATCTTATTTCTATGGAATCCATTGGATGTTAGTACATTGGTGAGAGTGTGTAGTTCGGGTTTTAGGTGTTGTTCGTCAGCTAAGCGTTTTGTTCTGGAGATGAGTGTCTTGGCTACAGAGTTGATCTGTGCTGGGTGGTGGTGTGAGAGAGCGTGCAGATAGCGGTTTGTGTGTGTTTTCTTCTGGTAGATGGTGTGTCCTAGGGAGCCATTGGATTTCTTGTTCGGGTTTTCTCCCGCGTAAAATTGGAAGTGTCTTGGCGACGTTTTGACGAAGTCCCATTCGTCATCTTCAGGCTGGTGTTTTCAGCTTCGTGCTTCGAGCAGCAATGTGTGGTCTTAGCTATTTCTTCCTTTTAACTGCCAGTGGGGTATGAACTGATTGGGTGGGAGCTTGGCTGTGTTCTGATTGGGTGGAGGTGTGTTCTGATTGGTAGGGGCTTGGCTGTGCTCTGATTGGCTGGGGGGTTGGCTGTGCTCTGATTGGCTGGGGGGTTGGCTGTGCTCTGATTGGCTGGGGGAGTGTTCTGTTTGGTTGTGCTCAGGTTAGTCTGAGTTGCAGGGGGGTTTAAGATTTTGGGCTGCCTTGCTATTTTTTGGCTTCGCGTTCGTGGTCGTGCCTCATCTTCATGGAGGGTATCAGTTTGCTTCATGTATGGATTGGAGGGGTTTAAAGTGGCTAATGATGCAGCTGTGGTCTGGCTTCTGGTTTGTGGTCGTGCCTCATCATCGGTGTGGCTTTGGGTTTGCTTTTTGCGTGGATGTGTGGTGGTGACATCCTGTGTGGTTTTTGTGAGTGTGGGTCTGGTATCATTTGTTGTGTTAGGGAGTCGTTTGTCAATAAGGGCGGGTTTCCAAATGGCTGGTAGGCGGGAGGTATCATCTCGCTTGTTCATGCTGTGTGGGCGTTTTTCTATCTCGATGGCTTCTCTGATTATTCTGTTATTAAAATGTTCACTTTTGGCAATGGTTCTGGTATTTTTAAAGTCAATTTCATGTCCTGTGGCTTTAAGGTGTTGGACCAGGGAAGAAGTTGGTTCCTCTTTTTTGACTGAGTTCTTATGTTCTTCAATGCGTGCACTTATTCTTCTGTTGGTTTGTCCGATGTATGTGTTGGACAAGCAGTGCAGGGGATTTCATATACTCCTTATATTTGTTTTGGATAGTTGTCAAGGCTTCTAAGCATGAAGCCGAAAACACCAGCCTGAAGATGACGAATGGGACTTTGTCGAAACGTCGCCAAGACACTTCCAATTTTACACGGAAGAAAACCCTAATAACCAAAGACCTACATATATATGTATATTATATATATGTATGTATGTATGTATGTATGTATTTAGCGTTACCTCCTCAGAGGCTGCCAAAGCCCAGGCCCTCTCAGCCCCACCCCCCTTCATCAAACTCCGCTGCTGTATTCTCTAGGGGTTGGTAAGGTATCTCTTCTAATCGGAGCTCAGGCAGAGTTAGGAAGTAGCAAGCTCTTGTCATCAAGAAGGGGCTTCCAGGAACAAAGATGACCAGCTCCCCCCCAGCCCCAATAGTCAATGCTGTGATGGTATCCAACCGGCCAAGGCTGTTGTAGCAGCAATAGTTAATGATTCCTCAATGACCGTTCAAGATCAAGTGGGGTGGAGGAAAACCCCGGCTCCAGGCAGTAGTAGAAACAAAAGCAGTCAACATGCTATAGTAATGGCTTGCCCCCCCCTCCCCACAAAGTCTAAAACATGTACAAGCAACAGTAGTCACAGGCCAGGTAGCCTCCAGGCTTCACAGCAACAGTAACTACGACCAGTCTCTCCTCTTCTTCTGTTAATTCTTCTCAGTCAGGTCTCGGCATCAAAACCCTCCCCCCTTATCTTTATTGTTAAAAGTCCCAGGCTAACAGCCCCAGCCACTTCCTTTCCACACACTCTCTCACACCTCTGTTTGAGATATCCTTTTACGAAGGAGAGCAATAAAATTCCACTCCCTCTCTCACTCTCTCTTGCCTCTGTTTGAAACATCCTTCTCATGGAGGAAAGCAATAAAATTCTACTCCCCCCTCTCTCTTTCTCTCTCCCCCTCCTCCACACAAAGGGGTCAGCTTAAAACCTCCAATCCCTCTTTACTTTCACCTGATGAATTCCAACAGCCACCCCTTTCCTTCCTTCCCTTTTTCTATCCTTTCCCTTCATCCATCTCTGCCACACCCAAAACCATCAGCAGCTGTCCCAATCTCTCCCTTCCCAGCCAAACTCCTGCAAACACTCTAAGACAGGCCCGCTACATACATTCATTCATACATACATACATATATTTAGATTGCTAACAAAGAATAAAGGGAGAACTGGAATAGCTATTTCGAGCTTCTTAACTCTCTTCAGCCAGACATACCCTTCTGAGATTCCAATTAGCTATTCCAGTTCTCCCTTTATTCTTTGTTAGCAATCTAAAAAAATGTATATGTAAATGATGTCACAGTTGGCGACTGCTGCCTGTGGATGGCTCTAGATTGAACTGATACAGGCAAAAGAAAAAAGAAAAAGAAAGAAGATTTCTTTCTCCCATATTTGGGCTGACAGGGTACATCAAAAAACACTCAAGGTAAATCTCCTCCCCCTATCTCTTCCCTCCCTGATACAGCTGACAAAGTGAGAAAGAGCCTGTGGTCCAGAGGTTAATACAGCTGCCTAACATGCACACAGCCCAGGTTTGAATCTCAGAAGGGTATATCTGGCTGAAGAGAGTTAAGAAGCTCGAAATAGCTTTGCTATTCTTTGTTAGCAATCTAAAAAAATGTATATTTTTTATGTACCATCCAGCTGCTGGTACAGAGCAGATACTCTTTTATTCTATATCTTCGCGGGGCCTATCTTCACTGTTCTCTTGGTAAGAACTTATTACAATGATTTCATTGCCAAATATATTTTTTCCTACTTTTATGCCAAATGTTGATCTATGTTTATCTATGAGCTGCAGTGGCTCAGTGGTTAGAAGGCAGTATTACAGGCTAATTCTGTTGACTGCCAGCAGTTCGATCCTAACCCGCTCAGCCTTCCATCCTTCCGGGGTCAGTTAAATGAGGATCCCAGATTGTTTGGGGCCATAGGCTGACTCAGTAAACCTCTTAGAGAGGGCTGTAAACCACTATGGAGTGGTATATACATCTAAGTGCTATGTGCTATTGCTATGTACAAGGAGGAGGCTGACTCACTGCACAGCTAGGCAATAAATTCAGTGCATTATAAAAGTAATATGGAAATTCATCTAAATATAGAGTTGCTATAGGATATTGGACACTGACACATGCGTCACATCAATCCTACAGCAGTGAAAAAGTAAAATGTAATGGTTAAAAATCAAAGTCTACCAGAGCATTGCGCCTGAGCTTGCTGAATCTCATACCCTTTCTTCTTCTGCACACATGCCATAAAGTTAGAGGGAACAGAACAAAAGATCACTCTTTTTACACACACACATATATAAATTAATTCCTGTGTGTCTGGCATCGTTCAGACTGTATCACAGCTATCAGCTGATGGAAGCCAAAAAAATGACCAGTCATCATAATACGACTACACTTGACTTGTAATGTAAAAACTATTGTTTAGTTGTTTGTTTTTATCCCACCTTTATTATTTTTATAAATAACTCATAGTGAATGTACTACTCCTTCCTCCTTCTATTTTCCACAAAACAACCACCTTCTGAGGTGAGTTGGGCTGAGAAAGAGTGAACTGGTCTAAACTCTCCCTGCTGGCTTTGAGACCTAAGGTGGGACTAGAACTCATGGTCCTAGTTTCTATCCTGGTGCCTTAATCATTAGATCAAACTGGCTACCACGAACTATCAAGAATAAATGTTTGTTTATTATATCTAAACAATGATTTTAGGACTAAAAAAAGGATCAGTAAATTGTTTTATTATTAAATACATTGAAAATTGTTTTATTTATTTATTAATTTCTTTACTTGTATAAACAATATAGTCAAGCCACCATTTAAGTGGGAGCTAAAATGCAAGCCCTGAGGGTTATTCTTTATTAAGAAGGAAGTAGAAAGAAAATTAGTTACAATTAGTGAAAGGCAGGTATGATACTGCAAATTAAATCAGAAGCTGGATATGCTAAGTAAATTAGGTTAAATCCTATGTAAAAGGAGTAAAGATGGCTTTACTGTTCTTCAAACATGAGGTTTTGATTATAGGTTTTATGAATTATTGGTTGATTTTGTGCAACACCCAATTTTTGGATATTACTTATTGGATGTTAAATATTACTTAGAGGACACTTTCTCTTTTCCCACCCCTTTCTGAATATTTTGTATAGTCCAAAACACTTTTCTGAATTTTATTTTTATTTTTTTAAAAAAATAACCTTGAAGTGCTTATTATGCTAGAAACATATAATGAAACAGAAGAAAGCTAAGCAAGAAGAAAAAGCTGTTTTAATGGTGGTAGCATAGTATTGAATTCAGTAATTCATTTTACCTATTTAGACAAAGTTCCTTTAAGGCAGACATTGGGGATTTAGGCCTGAAAGTCTCCGTTGATGTTTTTACTGTCAAATTGCATGAAATTTCTTTTTCAAATGTGGATGTGGTTGGCATGAAATTAACAATTTCTATTTTTTTTTCTATAGGTGAATTTACTGATCCTGATAAGGATCATTTACATTGTCATAAAGAAGTTGAGAGCCAGACATCTTAAAAAATCTATTCAGTACCTGAAAGCTGTGAGGGCCACCTTCATTTTAGTACCACTCCTCGGCATCCAAATCCTGTTGGCTTCCTATGAACCAAGTGGCAGAACTAGCAAGGAGATTCATAAATATGTGCTCCATATTTTTATATATTATCAGGTATCCAGTCTCTTGAAATATATGCAGTTTACAAGGATTGCTAAGGAATGTTGCAGGTATAAACAATGGACATATTTTAACCCATTCTTGATTTCATATCAGTTTCATCAAATGCATTCACATTGTTTCCCTTTCATTTGTGCAGATTTTAATGAGGGCTAAGCTGACATGGGTGTTAGTGGGAACTTCACTGATATTTGAGAATTATATATGTTCAAATTTAATAATTTGCTAACAGTATTACAATATGAATAATTTTAACCAATTTCAGGATAGTGGAAACATTTGGATCATATGTGTTCAAATCTAGGCTGCTTTTGACAGCTGGAAACATATCTGCTAGTTAATACACTACAAGGCATATCATTCAATTTCATGATTTGGAACCTTGTTAAAATAACCTTTCCTCTACAAATAAAACCAAAGAAATGTTGAGAATCATTGTAGTGTAGTGACTAAGTTACTGGATTAAGAACAGAGAGACTAAGAACCAAGGCACAGAAGTTAGTTGGGTGCTGGTAACTTATCTCAGCCCTAGACTGAGAAAAACCTTTACCATCCTATACTCGACCAATGGGATAGATTATGCTTCATAAACCCATAAATTTCAATGAAGGTGCCTTAATTCTTCAGTGGATTGATATCTTAGGTTTGTCTATCTACCATTTTTCTCCCTCCCTTGCTCTTGCACTCTTTCATCATCTAACTATCTACCTAGCTATCTTTCACAGGGAAGATCAAACCTGTTTGTACCAAAATGGTATGATGGAATTAGTTCGTGCTGGTTCGTAATAGCTAACTGTCAAATTTTCAATAATTTTCTGAGCAGTTGAAAACAGAGCTTTTATTTTAATATTTTGAATACAATTAGTGTGTGTGTGGATACAGAGAAATAGAGATAGAGATAGAAGAGATAGTAAAAATAAAGAGACAGAGATAGTGAGATAGCAAGATAGAGATAGAGAGATAGGTAAAGATAGTAGAGATAGTAAAGATGAAGATAGCGAGATAGAGAGGTAACGAGATAGAGAGAGAGAGAGAGAGGTAAACATAGTAGAGATAGATAGATAGATAGATAGATAGATAGATAGATAGATAGATAGAAGATAGATAGATAGATAGATATAGGGGGAGAGAGAGAGAGAGAGAGAGAGGGAGATGATAGAGCTCTTTGGCTGCTCACAAGCATGATAATGACAATTGGGCTGGCAGAACTGGTTGTTATTAGCACACCACTGGTCCCATTTTGCCTGCAAAAGCTTGATTTTTTTTAAAAAAAAATGTGATTACCCCATTTAAATAGCTTGCAGTTCTGCAGGGGTCTCAATCCATAGTTTAAGTAGTACAGCACCAACGATTACCTTCATGTTTGGATGGCATTATTTTAGAGGACAATTATCCTACCAGCTATAGCTTTGGAATCATATTCTTATCATCTTTTTTTTTCTTAGAGACATTTGGTTAAATTATTGAATTAGGGCCAAGAAAAGTGAGCCTAAAACTGAGGTCCATTATCAGGAGAGGAAGCTCATTGGATGATTTGGGGCCATTTGCAGTCTTTTTATCCAATGTATTGCCTGTGTTACATTGTAAGGAAAAAAAATGAAGGGAAGGAACATGAAGATGTCTCTGTAGCCCTGAAATAAATCTTTCTCTTTTTGCAGGGTTTGTTATTGTCAATAATATTATGCTTTTCTGATAAAAAGGTAAAATGTTTTTCTCTTTTAAAAAATTTTTTCGGACTGACTTAGGTTTGAAATTGCATCTAGCAAGTGGTTAAGAATAGGCAAGTTAATGCTTAAATGCTGTCACAGAGAAATAGAAGAGGAATAGTGTCAACCCTATCAAATCATATTAAACTAGAGCAGTGGTTCTCAACCTTTTTATACCGGCGACCCTGGTCATAAGCACGCGCCGTGCATGTGCGGTGCGCCGCGCATGCGCGGTGCTGCCCCCGGCGGCGGCAGGCAGGCCCGGACGCTCCCGGGCGGCCGCGGCAGGCAGGGCGACCACCGGCTGGGCCACAGCTGGCCCAGCACAAGGCAGGTAAGGCACCCACTGGGCCCCACGTGTGCCAGCTACCCTCCCTGCGCCTGCCACTGCCCCGCTAGGCTTACCTTGGCCCCCGGCCGTTCGGGGCGGTGGCAGGCAGGCCCAGGCGCTCCTGGGCGGCCGCAGCAGCAGCAGCGCAGGGCGACCACCGGCTGGGCCACCAGCTGGCCCAGCCCAAGGCAGGTAAGGCACCTGCCAGGCCCCACGCGCACCAGCAACCCTCCCTGCACCCACCAGCCTCCCACCTCCCACCCCCAGCCCTCTTTTACTTACTTTTTAGTTGCTCAACAGGGAGGGAAGCTCTGCAGACTGTTCCCCTTGCAGCACCGTTTGCAGACTGGGGCTTTTGGCGGGCTCAGCAGGGCAGAGACAGCCCTGGACAATTCCTATTGGCTTTTGAAAGACAATAGAATTAGACTCTGTTCAAGAGAGTCTATTCTATTGGCTTTCGAAAGCCAATAGAATAAGAGGGAGTAGCACAGCTAAGGAAAAGGGGAAAAATGGCGGATCGCATTGTTTGGCGACCCCCGTGAAATGGTCGTTCGACCCCAAACTAGAGGGTTCAGCTTGTGATGTGAAATCAATCAGTATACTCCCCAACACTTGATAATCTATACTGGCTGAAATAATGCAGAAGAAAGTACTCTAAAGATGATAATGTATAGCTTATATGTGACAGTATATGCAGACAACAATTAAAGCTATGAGAAAAGTTTTCTTTTGTCACTGCATTTTTCATAGTATGATATGACCATAAATGTATTTGATTCCAGTGATGTTCTGTGGAGCCAGTCTGGCTGTTCAAAATTAATTTAGCAACTAATAAAAAAAAGGTTCTAAGAAATCTGTCTTTACTTTTTGTCTATATTGTTCTCATAAGAAATCTGTTCCATACAATACAACCATTTTTTCCCTTCTTTTTTCTTGAAAGGTTCATTCTGTTTTCAGAAAGCTATGGAATCGATTCCAAGCATCACTTTAAAATCAACATTCCGCTTAATGCAGACAACTCTGAACATCTGGATGGAGCCACAACAGATAATGTTGCTTTAAAAAAAAACTTTTTGGCCAATTGCAATACACTCTGTGCAAGTAATATCCTGTTGTTGCTTTTTAAAGAAATCATTCATTACAATATTATATTCTTATAAGAAACAGAGTTAAGACTGTAATAGTGTAAATATTGTAAAAACAGAATGCAAAATGTATCAAGCTGTTTGGTGTATTGGTTAAGGTCTAGAAACTAGGATACTATCAGTTCCAGTCCCACCTTAAGCATGAAATTTGACTGGGTGACTTTCAACAGTCCCTCTCTCTCTGTCAGAACCCATATTCTAAGGGGGCCTTTCCTATCTTTAACACAATCTCTACTCTCTCTATAATCCTGGGTTCTGCCATGCTCCTGGAGAGGAAGGGGAAAGCTGGGGTTTATTGCTCTGTTTCCCTTCTATTGCTACACTGTAACACTTTGTTGTTTCTGCATACTTCCCTTGTGAACTATCTCTCCCCTTGATGTCAGCTAGAAAGGGGAGGAAGAAGAAAGGAATGCGCCTCCGGCACTGGTTTATCTCCACGTTGAAGGGAAGATATGAAAGCCGACATAACATTGCTACAACCCTGAGACAGCCTGGCATTATCAGCTCTTTCCCACAACACCTGGGGATTGGCCCATGTGAACTGACCGGATGAACCTTTGGGTTGGGGTTTGTTTGGGACACTTTTAACCTATTGATCTGAGCAGAAAACCCTCAGATCCTGTCTATCTTGCCTGCTATCAGCTTCTCCTAATAAAAGTTCCTTTTGGAAGAAACTGCTTCCATGAGTTCTGCTTCCTTAGGATGAGGTTTTGAAGTGGGCCCTGACATTAGACAAGATCTGCAGTAATAGTCAGCCCGGAAGGAAAGCCCTTTACCGGGGGACATCACAAACCATGTCAGACAATGGAATAGGGAGAGAGGAACCTGCCGCAAAGGGGGACCCTTCCTGCTGGGCAGACACCTGCAAACAATCCAGTTCTGAGTCCTCCAGCTCATTGGAAGAAGAGGTAGTGATAGATCGCTGCCACAAGCCTAGATGGTCAATGGGTGTTGGAAAGAAGGATGACTGGGAGAAGAAGGAAAGAAAGGTGACACTCAGATGGGGCAGTCACCAACCAGGCTGAAAGGAGGAGATGGACAGATCCCTCCATCTCAGCGAGGATGAGGAGGATTGCTTGGGGCATTCCAGCTGGCTGCTAGAACAGGCAATCAGCATGATGAAGATAGCCCTGGACTCCCTGAAGGAAGAGAAAGCCGAGCCCTATTGAGGCACCATCCGCCTGGGTTGCAGTAAGAAGGAAACCACAGGGGAGTCTGAACTCAAGGTCCCAGGGCCAGCCGATGGAACCACCAACGTGCTGCAGTCGCCACTGGTGTAGCTACCCCTCGTCGTGTGGAAGCTGCAGAGAGAGAGGGGAGATGATATAAACAGGAAAAAAGGCAACGCTCCATCCAGAAATTCCCTCCACTAGATGTAAAGTTCCGTGGAGAGCCGCAACGCCTAAGATTCTTCCTAACCAGGTGCTCAACTACATGGAGGAATAGGCCAGGACATCCTCATTGAGTGCACCAGAATTCCCATCGTGCAAGCTGCCCTGGATGGCATCACAGCGGACTGAGTTGTAGACCTCTACAGTGCTGACATCCCAAAGCTACTGAATTTCAACCCATTCATGTTCTCCCTCAGGCATAGGTCCGAGGACCCGCTGGCAGATCGGAAGGCCCGAGAGTGGATCAAGACGGTAAAACAAGGCAGACAGCCAGTGGCAGAGTACACCCAGGAGTTCCAAACCGTGGCCAGCAAGCTAAACTGGCCAGAAGACATCTTGTTAGCCACTTCAAAGATGCCTGGCTGAGGAATTCTGGGAATTGAAGTCCACAAGTCATAAAAGGGCTAAGTTTGAAGACCCCTGCTCTAAGAGAAAGGGACTAAGAGAGGAAAGGTCAAGAGGAAGTCCCAATGGCTAGATTAATATGAAAAAGGCAAGTCTTGTTTTGTCTTCTATACAAATAATTATATAAGTATGTAGCATTGTGGATAATTAGTTATACTACTTAGATTTGAATGTACATTTTTCTAAATTAGCACACTTAACCAGTGTTTCCTGAACGGCTATTGACAGGGATGAGCCAATGCTGGTGTGACTCCCTGCTTAGACTTTTTCTTAAAGTTAGGTTAGTGACAACCTCTTAGTTTCCTTACTATTAAAACATGATTGTGTGAACAATTGAAAAAAAAATCTACCCTGATGGCATTTGACAACAATTTAAAGGAATAAGATTGAAGCGTCTAATGATTGTCTTCCTACAACTCACCCGTGATAAATTTATGATCCTTGATTTGTCCAAAATATATACAATTAAAGAGACTAATTCTTTCCTATGGCCCACTAAAAATTGCTTAGGATTTCATTTTAAACATTAAAAGTTCACATGCCATCTGCCAAGGATACCTATCCTAATCCCAAAAACAAACATTAAAGAACCCTTTGACTTACTTTAGGGCTGTTCCCTGAGTAGTAGCAATAAAGGATATCTTCTGACAAGCAAGAGTCACAGCCAAACACAGTCAGAGCAAAAGTTGGGACTTTGGACTCAAGGCAATTCATCACCATAATTGTTAAATCCTTCAATATATCTCTGCATCAGTGCATTTTATAAATCGTTTTGCCTTTAACCTGCCCTCTTCAGAGCTCACAAAATGGTGGTAATTGATTTGTTCTCCTCAGAGGCAGACTGGAAGCCAGCAAAGATGTTTAAGCTACAACACCATGTTTACTGTAGCAAATAAAGCTTCCGTTTATTTAAATATTTAAATTTAAATATTCAAGGCAATGCAAAATGATTAGTATAAGTTCAGTATCACAAATGCTATATAAATCAACTGCTCTGCTTTTAGTTCTATGTTCTTATTGTTTAATTGCTCTTATTATACTATTTTTGTGAGAAGTCTGCCTTCACATTTTTCATTTACTGCCTCGATTTCAGGGTGAAGGACAGAATTTAAAAAAAAATGCACCACTAGTTATGGTTCTTCAACTTTTGTTTTTTCTCCTCCTCCCAAAGCTAATTTAAAGCAGCCAATTTCATAGAGAAGTCCTATAAATATACAACCTACTTACAATTCTCCAACAGAGTTTGCTAGCTATGTTCCTGGAATTCTTCCTTTGTTTCTGCCTGATTTTTAAAATTGTGATACAGCTATTGCATCCTAAATAGAATTCCTGTGTCACATTAAATATGGTCTGTCTTAGAGCATGTACCAAAGCATTTCTCTATAACTTTATATCCCTTATATTCTTTTGCTAATAAACCTAAATCTTAGAGCAATTGCTGTGATATATTCAGATCATGGGGAATTCTTAACTAATTTTCCTTACTCCAGTTTATTACATTGATCCCCCTAACCAAAATAAAATAATCATGAATGCTGAACATCTGGTGGAGCTTGGTAAGCAGAAAGATGGGAGCAGAGAGAGTTATAGTTCTCCAAGTATATTCCTTCTCCTCAATGAAGAGATGTTCTCTTCAAAAACAATAGGTGGCTTGATCCTTGATGTGATTTGTACATCACATGTACATGTGATTTGTACATCACATGTACAAATCATAAAAATAGCATTGAAAGTAACCCATGCAGCTAACTATGGTATTAACTCTTTTAATTCATACACAGAACCACAAACACACAAAGAGAGATTAATATGTGTCATCATTTTTAGAAGTGTAGTCTGCACTCAACGGATTTATGGATTATCCTTCACATAAAGGAGAAAATTTATTTTAATGTTAGGAATATTTAGCTAAACATATTATAAGCACACCCAAACATACATACTGTAGACATGGTATTAAATATGAAAAGAATTTTGTTTGGGAAAATGTATTCTTCCCAATAATTTCTATCTTTAGAGTTTTTAAAATACAGACAGAAATATATTGATATTGAAAAAGCTAAGGTGTTTAAGGAGGCACATTGACAATGCCTGTAAACTCCAGCCCCTGGTGAAAATAAGCCGCCTTAGAGATGAAGTATTCGTAATGCCTAGAGTTGTAACAATTTAGAGTAGATTTTAGAAGATTAGAGTTAAACTTGACTTATAGCCTTGAGGAAAGTGTCACATCTTAAACACTTTCCAAAGACCTGCAGCACTGGAGCTATTGTATGTTAGACACATCTCCAGGAGCTTAAAAGGAGTTTTTTTTTCACTGAAGGATACCAGATTGTGCTCTCCGTTTTGGAGAGTATGGACCTCCAACAAACATCCTTCAGAACAAGTGGTCCCACAAATAATCGAACCATGTAGGATTTTGAAGGTGCTGATCAGCACACTGATTTGCCTCCAGAAACCTATTGAGAGCTGGTGCAGCTTGTAGAGTAGAAGTGTCATATGGGTATAATGAGATATGCCCATATGTATCAATATTGCTGCATTTTGCAGATGGTCTTCAAGGACAGCCCCATGTACAGCATGTTATAATAAGCCAATTGGGAGGTGACTAAAGCATGAGTAATTATCACTGGGCTTTCTATCCATGATCAGGTGCAACTGGTACATCAAGTGAAGTTATATGAAGGCTCCCCTGTCCACAGCTACCACTTACTGTTCAAGCGGTATCTGTGAGCTCAGGAGAACCCCAAAGCTGCACATTTCTCTTTCCCTGGGATAAATTTGCTGATATGGCTTCTCACATCTGTTGCCCACAAGTGGGTGGAGAATTTAAGGAGGCCATATATGCACTGATCTAGCTAATAGAATGTCCAAACTAAACAAAGTACAAACTTAAGTATCAAGACATTGAATATTACATATTGCATACAGTACGAAATCAGTCCATCTTGTTTTCATGCTTCTGAGCTGAAGATTGTTACAATCAGGGCTTTTTTTGTCATAGAACGCCCAGAACGGAATTCCAGCACCTTTTTTGGATGGAACCTTGTAGGGTAGGCAAGGCGGGTTGTATGACATGGGTGAGTTCTGGCACTTTTATTTTATTTTTTACAAAAAAAGCACTGGTTACAATCTAATCTTATCAACAAACTAATGGAAGAAATAAATAGTGGTATCCACACTGCACAAGCATACAATTAAATTGAATCTAATGGTGGATGAAAGTTTCATAGGTCCACAGAATATTAGTTGAATGGGTTTATTTGGACCATTAGTTCAAATCAAATTTATTATAACCTCAAGGACAGATACAAAAAAGTACCACATCCATATATGTATGTATGTATGTATGAATGTATGTATGTATGTGTGTATGTATATGTATATATACCACATCCTTCTATATATATAAGTATATGTGTACTAGAGAAAAACAATAAGTATAAGTCTAAAGATAATTAAGGGCATGGTTACTAAAACAAACCTCAATAAAATATGGTTACAAATTCCAATTCTAAATAATGGTATGGAGTATCATACAAATGGTAGCACAGAACTGGGCAAACTGAGAGGTTACTTTTGAATCCTTGCCTGAGAGCAGTAGCATTAAAGAGAAATTATGTTCTTTATCTGGAAATTTCTTCAAGACAGGGTCTGTATATAAGGGTCTGTATAGAGGCCTTATATAGGGAATAGTATAGTAGTATATGACCTAGAATTTCTATTGAACCATCGCCAGATGGATATAACCAAAAATGCATAGGAATATCCTTAAAACGTCTAAAACGGACTGAAGGCAACCTGGCTAAAGTAAAGTTCTTCCAAAATTTTAAAATTGGAATAAATAAATA